ATTTTAAACTAACCTTGACATTCTTTGATGCCAAAAGTTATTTTTAATACAAAAAGTGTCATAACTTATTTATTATAAAAGAGCTTTGTATTGTATGTCTTGGGATGGGATTAGAGACACCTTTTGTCATTTCAATCGTCCTCCATCAATCCGACGACTCTTTTCATCATTTTTCGAAACAATAATGGAATCAAAGAAGAGAAAAAAAAAGGATTTTTCACCAAATATAGAGTTCTCCTCACTTCTTCTACAGTTTCATAGATAAGCCAAGAGGGGCAGTTTCTTCATATTCTTCTATTCGTTTATCCGGCCAACCATTCACTGTATGGCTTTACACCCATTATATCTCATTTGCATGTCAAAATACCATAAAAGGCAATCTTTGAAAGCAAATCCACGACATCCTATTGAAGGTAACTGAACCATCTTGCTGACTGTCACAATTGTATTGAAATTTTCTGTCGTTATTTCTTAAAATATTCATATCTTCTTCTATTCTGTAATTTTCATAAAACATACAAATATCTTTGATTTATGATCATTTGTGCTGCTGCTATTGCTGTTGCTGCTTAGGCTTTTTCATTTCAACCGGATTCGGTTGTGCTGCTCCGTTCCACAGTTCGCATCGGTCAGAAACAGACGTTGAAAAAGGCCTTATTTAAGTTATTTTTTCATGTGAAGTGGCCTTGAGAAGCGATTAATTCGTCTCGTGAAATCCCCCCCCCCCACAATTACTCATCGAATATTCACTCATCTGCTAATCCATTACATATTATTTCAAATCAAATGCTTCTTTTGAGCTTTTAAAAAACTTTTTGTTCTCCTTTCTCGACATGTCTCCTTCCTTTCAGTGTCCAGTTCCTTAGCACTTCACCCTCCTTTTCTCTACATCTCACTTCATCCATCTCTCTTTCTCTCTCCGTCAAGCTTACTTCTCAACAACTTTATGATAACTTTGTTCACTTTCCAGCTTGTTCATGTCATTCTAGATGTGCAAATTGGGAGATTCGTTGATATTTCCTTTCTGAAAAAAAACCGGCTTGAAGGGCAATTTAAGGAAAAGCTAAACCTGTGCTCAATATTTTACGTCAAACAAATTCAAGAAGCACATGACTGTATTGCTCTCAACTTCTTCACAAACAATGTTTTTCATAATTTTTCTATACTTTTTTCAAAACTTCTCAATAGACTTTCATAAAAGGAAGATTCCTCCGGATTCACCGTGTCACTGTGTGTGAACTGCATGAGACTGTGTATCTGTAAAACTATGTGTGCTCATTTCTATTTGAAGTTTTAGAAAGAATAAAAATAGTTTTCTTTCTATGTTTCAGATTACAAAATCTTCATCTTGTTCTTCTTATTCCATTCAAGACCATCGTCTTCCTCAAGTCAATTCTGTTTGTTCTTCAGTTGTTTCTACGAATTCATTCTGAATAGCAACAGCTCTGTTCTATTTTTGACGAGAATTTCAAAATTTTTTCTTCAATCGCCTAGTATTGCAATCGACTTTTACATATTTCTGAACTTTGCATTCACGTGATTCACGTGCCACGTCATTCGCATAAAATGCTATTTAATGAACGGTTGCTTTCGATCAGCTTTTTATTCCGTTCAAGACCTTCACAGTTATTCCTTTTAAACGTCTCATAAAACTGTTTTTGTATCGTTCTTGTTCTTCTTGTTGTGCGTGTGTGTGTCGCTACTGTTCCATAATTTAAGCGTATGCTTAATCTGTGTTTGTTCGAGTCGAAAACCTTCTGGTAAGCTTCTTCTCTCATTTTCTCTTCTTTCTACTGTTTTTTGCAATCAGGTGTGACAAAACAAGAATCGTCCTTCTTTCTTATGTAATAAGTTGTGGTCATCTTCATCATTTTGTTGTTTTTTTTTTGAAATATTTTTCTCTTCTACATTCACAACTGTTTGAAAGAACAGTATTTCCCTCCATATAATATCCTGAACAAGTTTTTTTCCTCCATTTTTACAATCTTTTCTCATCTCTATTCAACTTCATCAAAAAAAGAAGGTTCTTTTCACAGCTTCTTACTGCAGCTGATTAAGCTTATTGCTTAGATAAACGTCTTATGTACCAGTTGGAGAATCGCTGATTAGTTTTTCCATAGAAGCTTTTCTTCTCATCTACAATAGAAGAGTTTCGGAACGATCAATTGCTTGACTAAATGATGGCAGATATAGCCTTGACTGTGAATGAGGCTATTATAGGCTTTTTCTACTTATATGAAGGTTATAATCGTTTCGTTTATTCCTATTTTGATAGAAAACCAGGAAATGACAAGAAGTGAAGCAAAAAAGAGTTTAGTATTAGAAGAATATTTTAAAAAGTAACTTCAAGGTGAAGAACAGATTAAATATTTCCTTTGGTTCATCCTTTTCCTCACCTTCTCATCTGCCGCCTGCCTACCACATCTCTCATTCATTCTTTCTCTTCCTCTTTTTTGCCCAAATAAATAGTAAAGAAATATCTATCTTTCCTTACTTTTTCCTGTCTCTCTCAAGCCCTTCAATCTACCCAGTTCTAAAAAGAACACACAAAACATCGCAATGGATGCAAAATTGGTGCGACGTGAATTATGCTGTGTATAACTTCTACCTTCTTTCTTTTTGTCAATTCAACCTCAACTTTTCTCAAATCCAGTCGTTCACAGAATTTTGTTTGACGCCCATCATCCTCCTTCGTTTTATTAAAAGAAAAAAAAAGATCAAGTTCCCTTTCTTTTTTCTTCGGCCAATTTTTAATTTCAACCAATTGCGAGTGAATCTCTTTCCTTACATATACTTCTATCACATTTAAGCTTCAATGATGCGAATTAACAAAAAACGGAAAAACACTACGGTGCCTCAACTTCCACACCTTCATCCAATCGCTCTTCTATCTCTCTCTCTTCTTCTCTCCTAAGCCTTTGCCACCTTAAATATTAAGAATATTGACATCTTGAGAATGAGAAGAACTTTTGTAATCTAGTCTTATTTGTTTGTTCCTTTTGATGCTTTTAGGTGGAGAAATGACCACAGCTACCGGTCTAAAGTGAAAAAAGCCCAGTTTCAAATATTGCGGACAAACCTTCCTCATAATATTGTTCTCCGACTTTTGAACGCTTATTTGCGAGTAAAAATCATTCAAGATCACCTCATATGGCAATATAGACATCGAAGACCTACATGTTGAAAGCATCGCCGGTTGTTCTTTTTTTGAAACATTTGGAATGCGACGAAAAAAAGGCAATTCAAAACTTCATCATTGTTTTTCCTGAAAACGCACACCGTCGCCATAATCAGAAGGGCACACATCATTCAGACTGGCAGGATGGATGATGGTCAGAAAGAGAATAAACAAAATAATCCTTTTTTTCTTTTTTTCTCACATTTTTCATGGAACAGTCTTCAGGACCATCGTCTCTTCACAAAAAAGAAAATAATAACTTTCTACTCGCAATTTTGGGCTTAAGTCTCTCGACTAAGCCGTTTCTATGCCTTGCATACAGTCAGGTTTATCTAACTCAAGGTCTTTTCATATATTTGACAGCCCCCCCCCTCCTCTTTCCTCAAATATACTTCCATTCTGAATAACTTTAAGATGAGTTTTGTCAACCAAGTAAAGGATCATTTCATATTTTCATTCATATTACGCACATCAACTACTTTCATCACTGTAATTGTCAAAGAACACATAGCATTTGATGAGAATGGTTACCTCATGACAATTGCTTTCGCTATACTTTCCGAAATATTATAATCTTCCATGAAAACTCATGTTCGACTTTTGTTTTCGCCTTCCCTTCCCATTCTCCTCATTTGAATCACAGAAGTCTTTTGTTTAATATTTCTCAACGTTTCTCATCGCAAAAAAAATCATTTTCTTCATTCAATTTATTACAATTTGAGCATCGACGAACACATCTGAATACGTAGCAACAGCTTCATCCTAATCACATAAATTGTCATGAATCAATGAATACATCATCTGCATACGTCTACATAAACTGTTTCATTTACACAACTCATGGCACCTTGCACAAGAAGAATGTCAATTCAATTGCCAATCTGCACCTGGCCCCTTCCTCATGATGTCTTTCATCAACACTCCGACTATCATTGACCAACTTATCAAAATACAAAATGAAAAAGAGTTATCTAGAAAAGGAATTACTTTGACACTTAATTACATCTGTTAACGCCAACAAGTTTCTGTCATTTTCCCATATAAGTTGTAACATTTATACGATTTTATCATGATCAAATAGATGCGATATCCAGATGACATTAACAGATCCTTACAATAGTTCTTCAATAACAATAAGAAAAAAATATATTTAACTATATGTTTAACTGTATATAATCAATTAATTATTCATTTTTCATTCATCCATCATGCGCACGCGTTGTTAAATATGCTAATTGATGTTTACGTGTGTTGCCCCACGTGAACATTATCATATCATCGGCACTTGTATTATTACTTCTCACCTTCAACAAACACAGAACGGTTGGTCAGTCTCTTCCTGTCTCCAGACGTGTGTGTGTGTCTCTCTCTCTCTCTCTCTCTCTCTCTCTCTCTCTTTATCTTAATTCTTTTTTCTCTGTCTTACTCATGCTCTTGTTTCTCATCAACACCCTTATTTGTCTCATTCTCGTTCACCTTTCATGTTTTAAAATAAAAATAAAAAGAATATAGGAGATGAACTTCAAGTATCTCCATCTCATTCATGGAAACGATGTGTTGTCTCTTTCTCTCTGTCTCTCTCTCTCTTTAGAATCTTTCAATTATCTTCATTATCGTCATCATCCATTTCTATCTTCTTTATCTTTTAGCCGTCTCTCTTTCCGTTCCAATCTTGTGAATAAGAAATTATTTTATTAAATATTCCAGCTTAAACACCTTATATGTTCATATTTCAATTTCATTGTCTCTTCTTTCGATCCTATTTTTTATATTTTATTATTGTTGTCTTCATTGTTAACCTTTATGATAAGCATGGTTACAGATGGAATACATAGAAGACTGGGTTGAGAGAGCCTTATCATGCTTTTATAAAGAAAGCTATAAGGATGATCCAAAAGATGCCAAAAAATCATCTTCACAGATTCATTACTTGGATCCGCTCAATCTACTCGATGACAATAAGCTCAAATCAGAATTTGAAAAATTCGTTGTAAGTATCTAACAACTTCTTATCAATAAAGCAAACGTCTCATCATCAATCTTGTTACAGGAAGAACTTGGCTTGAACGAAGATAAACGTCAAGAACTCTTTAACTATCCACGAGAAAAGAAGATTACCTTATTAACAACTCAAAATGTAAGCTTAATTTCTTCTAATTTCACACATTCTATCTGAGCTTTTGAACCTTTGTGTTTACTTTAAGCGACGGAGAAGCTCATCTCTATTAGCTATCATTAGAATACATTTTAAGATATTATTATTGAATTATCAAAAATTCGCACGTTCTGTTGACTTTTAATGAGTTTTTCATCTTTGAATTGTTAAGAACAACTTCAAACTTAAGTTGAACCGTTCGTGCACATAATTCATGCGCTCTCACAATATCCTATTGTCCAAATAATACTTTGATGCTTTTCCTAGGCTCGTGATTTGGCTGATTCAAAAATATTCATTTCACTTCTTCATCAACTTAACACTAAGCTGAGTGTGGACGTGGACACATTAGAACAACTGCAGAATCTTGTGATTACTCTTCGAACCCAAGGCGAAAGGTTGTTTACTTTTCTCTCTGCATCATATCAGTTACAAATTGTTTCAGCTTCATCGCAGAGTTTATCAATTCATCTGGATTAGATCTATTGATCTCCGTATTAGAGAAGTGTCATCAGAAATCAGGAAGAGAATCTTGTGCCCTACTCCTGATTTGTTCGTTCCGAGCTCTACTTAACTCTACAGTAAGTGTTTGCAACAACGTCCTTCTGAAACTGTGTAGATCTTTGGATCTTGTTTGATACACAAAAAAAACACCCAAATGGCAATCATTTCCGCCACGCCTTATTAAAAAGCTCATTTGATTCTGTAACATCTTTTAAGCCTTCAACTATTAGAAGATAAAAAAAAATTTCTCTTCAAATCGTTGACGTAAATGTGTTTTTTTGAATTGAAGTCCGACTGCTTTTATTTTTATTTGTGTAACGGATCATCAGTCAGCTTCCACTGATGGTTTGTCTGTCAGCAGAGGATGGCTTAGCATCTGACCAAGCCCAGTTCCGGAGACTGTTTCTTCACGGCCGCTCTCAGTTTCAACAATCACATCCGATTTTTGATTACAAAATTCAATATCATTGCTTGATTTTCAAACCGTATGAGATGTGAGAGAAGCGATTGATGAAACTTTCATGAATAAATGAAAAATCGTTTTGATCTTTACTACTTGTTATATGATCTCATTCTGTTCACTTGTCTACAATTCGTCTTCACCTACTCCAATTACCATATTGGATATATAATCTTAAGATATAAAAGATTGAAAGCTGCCAATATTTACGTATGCATGTCCATATCCGCTCTTTTCATATTGCAGTTAACATATCCATTCAACTAGAAAAGTATATCTACAGCTAGTTCAACTTTATATTTCATATAAACATCTATCGTTACTAATATACATCTATATACTTCAGATTGGACGTCAATCGGTACTAAACAATTCGGATGCACTACAGATACTAGCAAGATCAATCAGTTTGAACGACGCCAAGTGTAAGGTAAGCTACTTCGCATGTCTTTCATCTACTTATATATACAACTTCATGTATATACTACAACTAAACAAAAAATATAAATAAGAGAAGAACATTTAAAAACAAACATTTTAAAGTTTGAAGAGCAATTTGTCTTTCTTACTCTCTCTCTCTCTCTCTCTCTATCTATAGATTTCTCTCTCATCCGACCATTTAAGGCAATGAGGAAGATTCTTTGCTTATTTACACTGAAAATTACGTGCATATTACTATCATTTATTGAACAAACTGTTTTTTTATACAAACCAATGTCCGGTTTTTATTTCGAAAAAAAGGGAGAAAAAAAGAAATTTTTTATTTGAATGAAAAAATTATGTTCTCTTCCTCATGTTTAATTGAGCTGTTTAGACTTTACCCAAACCGGAAATCTCAAAAAGTGACTAAGCTTTTTTCTGTTCACTTTTTTGTGAACATGTGCTTGTCGTTCCTTTCTCTCCATATATGGATTAACTTCTTGTTGAATCTAAGACAACAAACATAACAAAATACAAACTCTCAAACAGAGCATCAAAATTATTCTCTACGTGTCTTAGATGCTCACGCTAATGTTGTTAAGCAGTAAAGCATTCAGTGCATTGCTTACGCAAGACACGGTTGTGCTGCTCTTCCTCATATCTTCTACTCTTCATAAATATATCCAATAACCTTTTACACTCATTTCTAATCGCAAACAAACAGTAAATAGCCAGCATCTACACCTTCGTCTTGCACTTTGTGTTTTTAATCCGTTCTGGAATTCTACATATTTATATGCAGACGGCGAATAAGATAGAGAGAGAGAGAGAAAGAAAGACGAAAACGAAAGAAAGTCTGTTGCTACTACGGCTGCAGGTTAAAGCTTCGACCTTTCTTATGAAATTTACAAACTTTTATCATCTTTTCTTATGCTCAAAAATGAATGCAATTATGAAATTCAGGTTATCTCCATTGAAGTCTTATCTGGTCTATGTTTTGTTCCCGAAGACGACGGTCACGCTAAGATTCTAGCTGCAATCAGTGAGGTAACGGTTCATAGCTTCTATCGTGTAACAAAAACATTGATAGGTATCCGCTTTATTAGGAGAGAGAACGAGGTTTCAGTGCTTACTCAACGATTTACACAAGAAGTAGCTACACATTCTAATGTACTTATTGATTATTCATTTTGTTCAGTTTTACATCTTATCGCGAATCAGATCGAGTACGAACTGCTATACTCGGACTTCTTAATGCCTTATTAAGCAACGGATCTGCTCAGGTAGCGTTTATAGTGTGATCACAACTCTCAAGTAGCTATGTATGGCGTGCATGTACCAACATCTGCGTATACTCATTGACTTACAGCTTAATAGTAATTAAAAGGCTTTCGACAAAATGAAAATTGAGATTAAAAATCAGAAAATGCTGGGAACACTCAGTTTTGTATGAAATCGCGAGTGTTGTCTGAATAACATATGTTGGTCATTCTTCAAGCCATCTCACGAAAATGGCTTCATTTGTTAATTAAATATTCATATACATATGTGGTCAAATGGTTCTTGTGTGTTCTGTTTCAACAGAAGAATCTGCTGAAACCGAATTTGTCATAAACTATGTCTTCAGAACCGCTCAAGTAACTCTTTCAAATTTCAGAATAGTGTAGAATTCCGGACACATCTACGTTTCGAGCTACTCATGCTGGGGATCAGTACCATACTAGACAATATTCGAGAAGATGCCTCTTCTCGCTTAGATGATCACATTGATTTGTTCGAGATGATGAGAAAAGAAGATGAATTAGCTTTATGGTTTGCATCGCATAAACTTAGCATTCAAAACATATTCTGTTCTAGCGGCTCATCAGAAGACTCTGGTGCTTCGTCACCCGTTGACTTTGAAAGTGTCGTGGGAATGGCTGAGGCTTTACATGAGAAGTTATCATCTTCTCTCGCACTTCCCCATTTTATATCCCTTTTACAACATCTATTCATGGTAATAATATTTGAACACTCATAGACTGATCTTCGCCATTAAGGTTCCATGTGATGAAAAGCACACTCCATTATGGAAGCTTTTCGATCTCATCCTTCAGCAGTTGACATTGGAAAGTACAGTTGAAGGAATGACTGATAGTGGTCATAATGTCATCAATAATATTGACATGAACACTTTCCTCTCTCGGTAATAATGAACTCTGAGTCGCCTCTCAACTTTTTTTATTACCTTCAAGACTACAAACTCAATGTGAATTGGAGAAAGCTGAAAGTGATTTGGAAAAACTGAAGGAAGAATTGGAACACGAACGAACCAAATGCATTGAATTGGAAAACAAATTGGCTGACTATCTAGATGGCAGATCAAGCATTTCAAGCAGGTTAACTATATCTATATTCAAACAGTCGAACAGTATTTCAATTACAGAATTTCAACCTTGTCATCTTCTCCATCCGATCCATGTCCTTCACCCACTCCTACTCTGCCTCCTGTCTGTCCAACTGTAGCCCCACCACCTCCGCCTCCTTTCGGAGGAATTCAAGCCTTGAAAACAGCGGAAGTAACTAGTTTTTCGAACGCGAAAGAAGCTGAATTATATTTGTTTAGCCTCAGAAAAAAGTCCCAACTCCTGGGGGGCCTTTGAAATCTTTTAATTGGAATAAGCTCACATCAGAGAAAGTGAAAGGTTCAATATGGGAGAATGTAGATGATGAGAAAATCTATAAGCAAGTGAGTAACAGGGGTACAACATCAATCACTCGAATTGTTCAGATTGATCTCTCAGAAGTTTCAACCATATTTGCCTCAACCTCAAACACAAAGGATGATGATACAGAAACAATTGCGGGAACATTGAGAAGAAACCGCGAAACCCAAGTTTCCGTAATTGACTCTCGAAGATATCAGAATTGCACTATCATGCTATCAAAACTCAAACTAACTCATAAAGAGATTCGATCTGCTTTAATGAATATGGATGAACAAGGAAAGTTACCGAAGGATATGTTAGAACAAGTAAGTCAATCTAGTTTTTTACAAATTGCTTCATGGAAATAATTTGAGATGTTGAAATTCGTACCAACACGAGAAGAAATAAATCTTCTTAACGAGACTGTCTCTCGGTCTAAGGGGCCAACAGTTTTAGCTCTAGCTGACAGATATTTATTCGAAATGGCACAGTATGTTATTATAAATCTCTTCCTGAAATTCTCCATCTGTTTAGAATTCCACGATTTGAGCAGAGATTACGTTGTCTTCACCATATACGAACATTCAATGACAGAGTAGAATATATCTTACCCCTTATCCAAGGTAGCCCATTCATCATATTTTCAATGAGATGCTTTTATTTGCAGCTGTTACGAAGGCATCTACTGACATCGTCTCGAATAAGAGATTCAAACAACTTTTGACTGTAGTTTTAGCTCTGGGAAACTACCTGAACTATGGAAAACGAAACGGGAACGCTTATGGTAAGACGAACTATTTTTCATTTCATCATGAGTTGTTACAGGATTTGACTTGTACTCGCTAAACCGTATTAGTGATGTCAAGTATTCAACTGCTCCTAACAAAAACCTTCTCCATTACATAATCTCTTGGACTGACCGAAAATCTCCTGACATCATGAAATTGAGAAAAGAACTTGCAACAATTTCCGAGGCTGCAAGATGCAGGTGTTTCTCGTGACCTTCGCATCCTTGAATAATCTCTTTGTTCAGCCGTTCTGAAGTTTTGGCAGAAATCCGAAGTCTGGAACAGGCGATTGCGTTTGTGAGGGCGGAGTTGAACCATGTGGAAACCCAAAGACGTCAAGAAACACCGGAAGATGTCGTCACTAACAAGAAGGTCAGAATATTCAGAAGTATTATGCATTACGTAGTTTTGTAGGATCGCTTTATGTCTGTGGCAAAAAACTTCATCACAACAGCAACGAACGAATTCAATAATTTGGAAAACTCTTTTAAGGAAATGACAAATAAGGTAATTCATCTTCTCTCAACGGTGTTAACAATCAGTTTAAGTTCACGGAATGCACGAGATATTTCTGCTTCGATAGCAACTCGACTCCAGAAGAATTTTTCTCTGTGTTGGCCAAGTTCTTCAACAGCTTGTCTGAACACTACCAACAGTATTACTGGTCATTGAATGAAGAGAAGGAGAAAGTCAAGAGAGAAACTCTCGCCAGAAGTTATTTTACCAAGAAAAGTGAGATTTTTGTCACGTTAGAGAGGGAATGAATATATCTATTTAAGGTAAACGAAACGACAAAGAACGAGATTTCGAACAGCTCATAAGTGCCCTGCAATCGGGCGACATATTCAAAGAAGAACTGAGTCGTCTGCGCACGTCATTCAGAATGTCAAAACGATCGAGGATACCGAGAGCGTGAAGAAGAAAAATGTACATAATAAAACGAATATCATATCAATGGTTATAACAGTTAGTATTAAAACCTGTAAGATCTCATACTTCAAACTTTATTTTTGCTCTTTGTTCATAGCTCATAATAATAATTTTGATTCAAAATTACATAGGTCCTTATTTGTAAAAATTAGTTTTTTTAAATAAAATTTTAATATTACGATTCTCTTGTTATCACAGTGGAAAAGTATTTTACAAGATATTTGAAAAAAGAAAAATACTAAAGTACCCGATTCAGCTCAATAAATCCTTTTGCTTCACTGAACGTAGTAAAAGATGATTTGTAAGTTTGAGCAACTTCTTGCTATGGCCAATGAATCGAAAGCTCCAGAGTAGATGTGACTATCAGAAAAGGAATGTGAGTGCCTAACAGCTATAAACAGAATTATTGTATTTAAAACTAAGAGAAATATAAAAACCGTAATCCAAACTGAGATCGATCTCCAATATCGGTGAGGGCATTTGGATGACTGAGTCCAATTGTGAAAACGTAAAAAAGGAATGGGACAGGCACGAGACAGAGTGACATCAAACTGAAAACTGACCCACTGGAATGAGAAATGTTATTGAAACAGTATTTGGATGGATAAGTACAGTGGGACTACCAGTGCTGTTAAACCGAAAGCCAGTAAACTCATGTTTATACAAATCATCAATATGTCGAATGGGGAGGTACAAACTTTTACTGAAAAGTTTGATATTAGAAAATTTTATAAGCCTGCCCTAACCTGTTATATCTCTAATAGACTTTTTCCCTGAAGAGGCCAAATGAGCAGCATTGCAACATACGCTGAATATTATCACAATATAAGGAAATGTATAATAATATACTCCAGCCTAAATAAATTCGTCAAATCGTGTATCATCTCTAAGCTCGTTCTTACCAGAATGGCGTAACTGAGAGCTATCTTTGGAAGAGTCAACAGTGCATAATAATACGCCCGATTATCTTTTTTCTTTTTGAAAACAAGCAAAAATAATAAATTTCGAAAGATTATAACACATAAAAGAAGGAGCAGATAATAAACAAATGGCAACGTGTATCTGAAAACAAAAACTATTCTTTGCTTCAAGCATGCTGAACTCACAATGGATAGACCATTTCATGGGAACATCGTAAAACTCTCGAATGTTTGATTACAGGGTTATACCATGTAGGATACCTGCAATACAAAGTTATTTCAGCAGCTCAGCAGAAGACTTTCTCACCATTCTTTCATATTTGATTTCGAACAACTCCATAAGTTCAACGAACCTATTGGTGGAAAAATGAAAACTGCGAAAATACTAGATACTAAACATTCGATGAAGCAACAAAGTAATTCTAAGAATACTCTCTTTCGTGGTCTGGAAAATCAGTGTCAATTACAAGCCTATAAGAATTTAGAAACTCACGTTTTTTTGTTGGAAAAATAATGAACGGAAAAACAATGAAAAAAAACAGGAAGCAGAAACACGAATGCTAGGAACATCCAATCATAAAACGATAGAGGTGCTCGACAAGGAGAACACCTTGACGATATCGAGCGACTCCCCCAACTACATGCCTAAACAAAGCTTCTGAATTAAGGAAAAAAATCTTATACTTACAGTGCAATCAGACCAAAGCTCCGTTGAATTCTCTAATGCATTGCGACCACAAAACCCGGGACAACCCGGCGCTGTGTCGTGGGCAGAAAGCATACGCAGAAATCAAAACCAAAATCTATCTGATGCATAACATCTGAAGAAAAAAAACTAAATCAAGAATGGAGCAAAACTATCAAGATATGCAGAGAAAAGACTCTTAAGATTAGAAGAAGACGAATAAATTAAAATTTATGAGTGAGAAATAAAAAGTTAATTGCGATATAAATGGAACCGTTCTGTTTTAACCTGTAGTCTCGGGCAAGATATCAAAATTTGATGAGCATTCATGATCTTGGTATCGCTCTTCCTTCCTTACTCTAAATAGGCTTTCGTTTCCTAATTTGAGTTTGAACCTCAGGCTCAATATCTACAATCTCCTTTGTGGTAGTATCATTCCAACAAGGAAAGTTTTCAAATGTCGGACACTCAGGCACTTCGTCTACATTATCCGGAACATACACATCATCAAAAAACCTCTAAAAACGAGAAGTAACTACGCAGAAAAAAGGCAACAAACATTTTTTGATGTTTCGACAGTTTCGTTTGAGTTTGCCTTTGGGGGTTCATCTTCGTTATTCTAAATCTCAACATGTTTATAATAAAATACGTTTTGGTAACCGCCGGTTCGCTTTGTTGAGATACATAAACTCGTCTACCCCAGTATATCAGTATGAAAAATATACAAACTATAAAGAAGAGGTTACGATATAGAATAGATAACTGGGCAAACCAGATAAGCTAACAATAAACAAGAAGAAGAATGAAGAAAGAGGCCAATGATAAAGAAAACTTCTTAACAAGCCAAATCGAGCATTCGTCAGCAAAGAGGCGCTTTCAACCTGAAACGGTATGTTTGTAGAAACAACCGCTCAAAAAATATACAGGTTAAAAAAATGAAACTCCTTATTTTCATTCGGAGTCATTCAATTACTGAGCGGTTGTTCACGCGTGTATTCTCAAGACACTACCTGAGCAAAACGATCTTGAAGAGTATACACAAGCTTGGACGGTAAAGCGTTATGAGAAACGAAGAAATCATCAGAAAAGAAAATCTGCATATATGATAAATAGAGGATAATCGAACATTCACCCAACCTCAACGGTATGATAATCGTGGAAGAATCCTGTGAGGTAGAGAGGGAAGAAGGCTAGCCAAATCATCTTTAACACATAAGAAAGAGTTGGATAATAGGAAGTTACTTTTGTTAGAATTCCTGGTTGTTTAACATGAGACGTCTTCAACCACTCATTCAAAAGATTATTATTTTCGTCATAAATAGCTAGATGATTCTAAAACTCGAAATGAAGTATCGAGGATTGATAGTGAGCACCTGGAAGAGGCCCATCTTCTGATTGGCTTCGAGATCAACAAAATTTAAGCGAACCGAAATGGAATATGTTATTCCAGGGGAGAACAAGGAAACCTAAAAGTTTGTATTAATGAAATATTGCTCTCTGTCTAACTTTTTGAACGTCAAGCGAAGCTGATGGATGTGAGCAGACTCCATGCAACTCTTTTGCGCAGGGTGAGAACACTACGTTAAGTGACTCATCCCTTTGTATTGAGGATGGGAGTGTTAAGTGTCTGTTATTAAAAATTGTGAAAGTTAAATTGAACTTTTCAAACCTAACTACAAGTGGAAATATAATAGATAGCACAAATGCACAAGCTATGTGCATCAAAATGGTAAGTAGAAACCAAATGCTAGTTGGATTTCTACATAATGTGACTAGATTTTTGAAATAATGACGAATTAGTGCGATGGGATTTCCTAATTTCATAACCCCTGATAATTTCTTAACAAATAAAATAAAAAAGAATCTTTACATTTGGAAAAACATTGAAAAACTACAATAGGTTGACTTTGAAGAATTCAATATATATTCGCTGTCGCAATAGAGCACATTATTAGTAACGGAGCAAACACACCATATACACATGTTAACTTGGTTAATATTGTTGAATATAACATGAAAGAAGTATAGCAAAATTCATAACCTTAATATACAGGACTCATTTCTCTTTCGTTTTCGGTAGACTCATCATTTGTATTATTTACTGTGGGTGATCCTGATGACTCTCTTTCTTCCTCCTCTTGGTTAACAATCTCTTCACCCTTAACAGGAATTATTCATGTTTTTCAATTAATTATGAAACGAACGTCAATATTTCTGCTTCGTAACAATCCAATTTCAAAAGCTGCATGACATTCGATATCAACAAATACTTTTTGAACCGTTCTCATGAACATTTCATTTGCTGTACGGAGATCAGGTAAACCTTTGAGCAGAGTTACAGACTTGATCGTCTGCAAGTTTTTCTCATACATTGAATGATATCAAAAGTTGCTCATTATTACCTTAGCATAGACACCAATATTTTGAAGCGTTCGATTTCCAATTTGAACACTCTTGATCACTGCGCCAAGATCAGAAGCTATCGATCTAGCTCGGACTTTATCTTGTGTGAGGCAAATGAAGCTACTGAAAATGGTAACTATCTAACTATTTCACTAAAGAAAAAAATGAACCTGTTCTTATGAAAGATGAGATTCAGAAACTGACGCCCTTCCTTCACTGCTGCTGTTAGAATCGGAGCGTTTCTTACAGATTTGACGCGAAGAATCAATCCCAATAAACAGAAAGAGTTGGCGGCATGCTGCCACTCGGCAACAACCTGAAAAACAAGGATAACCATACTGTGATTTTTCAAAGCACCTGTTTGGGAGTTGAGATACCCATCCTGACGTCGTCCGATCTCGAAGACAACATATAACAAGATACGGTTGCGTTCAAAAGGGAGAAAAGAACTTTGTAAATCCCATAAAGTGTAGACCTGAATCAAGAAACTGAGTTGAAGTTGATCATTTCACAAACTTGTTGAAGCAGAAGAACGGAGTATTCTTATCTACATCATTTAAAATAGGATCTGCAGAATCTTCGTATGAGTTCATCTTGCTCTTGCGACGTTCCGAATCAGGAAGCTATAATCTCATGAAATCTCGCTTGACTTCGAACCATACCAGCTCAGCAACTTTATTTACAATAAGCCATTGTATGCAAGTCAATCTTTCTTTCACCGGTCGAAGGTTGATGTAATGACTAAAAGTTAAATGCGTCTTGGGGACACAAGTAAGAAAACCTGAGAATGGATTTCACTGGATTCACCAGTGCTGCTCCTTTAAGAGCTTTTCTATCAGAATCACTCCATTCTTGTATCAAATAATCCAAGGCGTGGCGAGCTAAAAAACTATAAAATCCTATTTAGTTCTAACAAAACCTGTTTTCTTTTTTAATTCTGGAGTCCAGGAGTTGAGTAAATCCATAATATCGAGTAACAAGACAGCAACCTTAACAGCGTTGTGAGTAAAGGGTGATAGTGCAAACTAACTTCTATACTCGGTGCAGATTTGGCAAAACTAATGAAAGAAGTCAGGACTGTTAGTTCAGCTTCATCCCCTTCAACTTGCTAGAAGATGAACGTAAAAAATGAGTGAAAAAGTTTTGAACCTCGTTATTCGCACTGAGGATGGAGTGCTCCAGTTTCTTCATCAGCGTATGTCTACGTTTGGTTCTTGAACGTTGGATTCTCTCCGAATCAGATCTCTTTTGAGATATTTCTCTCCTAAGCGTTCACTTGTGAAGCATTCAAAAAACTAACTCACCAGGCTAAAATACTTGAGAAAGTTTCCAAGACAGTTTGCAGTAGCTGGACCATCTCAGCGAAAACCTGTGAAGCATAAAACCAATCTCGACTATTATGTTAAGCATATCTCACGTTTTTATCCTGATCATACACGTTTGAAGTGTCAAGATCAATACGGAAGAAAACGTTTGCCGTGTTGAAAATGTTCCAAAGAGTGGGAGTAGCCTTAACCTATAGATCAAGACAACAATTTCAAAGGAAAGAACCTCAATAATCAAAGAGAATATTTGATTACAATCTCCATGGAAGTTATCATTTTCATTGCTATCCGTCTAAAAGAACTAGCTGAGTAAAGCACTGAGTACGGCTCTGAACAAACCTTAGGACCCCAAGGAGATGCTTTCACATCCTTTTTAGGTAGTACTTTAGAGAATATGCTAAGTAACTCGTGCATAATAAAAGTGGTAGCTTTTCGTTTTTGGTTGATGTACTGAACTATCATAAGTTGATTTTAAGCAAATGAAGGAACCTGGATTAGACGAACAACAGAAGATAACTTCAATGGTTTCAAGTTCTTCAGAAAAGCAGTTGCGGTAACTGTGTCCATACTGAACACAATATAATGAATACAAGACAAATTGATGAAGCCAACTTCTCATTCACTGTCGGACTAGAACTTAAGTTTTCGTCATCCTCAACATCTTCATTCTGAATCATACATGCAATCAGTTTGGAAATCACATACTGCTTACCATCTCCATTTTCGTTCCGTTCATGGTATCATTACTTTTAGAAACCTTAGATCCATTATCTTTTCTCTTCATTCCTCTCTTTCTGTTAGCTTTCATTGAGAAAACAACGTTATACACCGAATCTCCAGGAACCGACGGCGTTGTCCAGCATTTCAAAGCTAAGTAAAGTTAATCAATTTCTTTCACACTGATGACAACACCTTCTATCTTAGTCAAAAGCTCTCTTTGACAACAGAACATCAGGAAAAACTTCTGTTTCCATAAACTTTCTAAAGTTTCCGGAGAAACATTGATGAACTCTTTCTGGTCAGCAAACGTATTCATCAACTGAACGACGTATTAGCGGAAAGAAAAAGTACTGAACATACAGTTCTAATCCATTGAATAGTATGATATATTTTATCGGCAGACTTCTTCTGGACTTCAGGGTTATCGTCCGAAATGTCCGAAAGATCTATATTAGCTTCTGTAACTCGGATTGTATCAATTTTAATAGTTTAAAAGCCAACCGAACGCATAGAAGAAAGAGGAGAAGTGGTTAGTAACAGCAACTTGACTATCATCTTCATTGCTCCAATACCTTTTTAAAAGGGATGTTTCCTATGAGGAGCTTTGTTTCGAGAAGAAAAAAAAAATTCATTACCTTGAGCAATTCAAATGTTGGAACAACTTCAACAATATTTTGACTTGAAGCGGAGAGCCACAAGGTACTCTGGGCATTTCTGAACTTATCGCACTCGAAATCACTGGAAACAGGTGAAATTCAGGTTTATGGCTTTCCGAAGCAAACTTGAATCCAACATAATCAGTCGGTCTCTCGATGAAGAACTCCTTTCGGAATTTAGTTGAAAGGTTTTCAGCAAAATCAAGCTGTAGAAAAAATCCATACTGTTACAGAAGAAAGCACATACTATAACATTGGACTTCGGAGTTTTTAAACAATTTTTGATGATCATAGCCATTTGTTTATAGAATAAACTGCGGAGCGAATTGGATGTTCGGGTCGATTGTGTCAATTTCTTGAGAGTTTCCTTCAAAACTTCCTCTCTATCCGCATTTCTGAATTATATAAGATGAGCCTCGATGAGAAAATGAATCACTTCTCAGTTAGCGAATGCTCCAATTGCACCAATAATCCGAGAATTCCATGAGTACGCACTTTCTCATTAATAGAGCACAGCATTTTCGCAATCAGTTCCTCAATATCTCTCTGACCATAATTAGCATACAGCATACGAAACTATCTTTCTCACCTTGAGTTCTTCCTGCCCCTCTTCACCAGAATAGACACGGATAAAAACCTTGAAAAGTTTTTTGATGTTCTGGTGACTGAGCAAGTCGACAATCTCAAAGGTTTTCTAAAAAGGATGTTTGATCAGTACTCATAGCAAAAGCTCACGTAAAGGTCGGGTACGAAGGGCAAGACATCTTCAATGTTCGTTTGAACCAAAAGATCGAAAGAGGTTAAAATAGTTTCTGCTTCATTCTCAGAAACAGAAAGATGGTCCATCATCGAGTTTATTATGATATGACGGTTTTTTTCGATTGATGAAAACAGCTTACGATAAATAAACCCTCCGAAGTTCCGCACTTCTTTCAGTGGTGAGTAAAGGCAACTCTTTGCAACTGTCATCCAAGATGTAAGAAATTTCAAATTAAACTGAATGTGAGTAAGTACTGTAGAATAGAGGAATTTAAACCTTTTTGAATGCCATGGCTGCATTACAAACATCAATCATTTTTTTTAACTGAGAGTTGTTACTCTGATTCGTAAAATGATTGAGAACAGCATTTGGACATCCTTCCATTGAACGCAAAGCCAATGCAAGCATCATTTGGAAAACGGAAAAAGACTGAATGAGAGCTTATTAAATTGGACTGATATTGTCTTCACCGATTTTCCAGATGTCGATTCACCGTTGCTGCTTGTGGGCTCGGAGTCATCTTCATCAGAACCTTCAAAACTTCTGGAAAAGATTCAAACTCAAAAATTAACTGCATAAAAATTGCCTTATGAATGATGATATCTCTCTCCATCCCCGAACTCCTTCTAACTGCACATAACGGCAAATCACGTTAAACATATTTATGAGTATATCGTCCAGAGTTAGCCGTCTAAGAGATGATTCAATTGGTATCTAGTCGTTGTTCAACATACGTTTTGCTTGATCTACTCTTCCTTAACTCTTCAATTTTTAAATGATCATCGACGTTTTTTAGAAGAGTGCTGAATGAGGGAAACTATAAAGCATATTACCACTGTAATCTTCAAACCTGAACGAAGATGATCCTGACAAAGTTTGAATACAAAAACGAATTACTTCGGGCAGATTAATGACGTCAAACTTCATGATATTACGACAAAGACTAGTTCTAATCTAGAAACATCCTTTAAATATTGAAACAACCTCAAGAACACCTGGGATGCTATTTTCTCGGGAATTCGGAGAAGACAAAAAGTGTTCAGTATAGCTGATTGGAATGATGCAGCTTCACGTATGTCCTCCGTAAGAATAAAATCCTAAGATGTTCAACTAAAGCCCACAATCTCCAGAATAATGAACATACCAAAAGTTGTTGAGCTGCATTACCATGAATCATAGGATCCACTAGCACCTAAGGAACAGTATAAAGAACCTTGCTAGAGAAAATATACCTCAGGCAAGCATTCGATGAACGTATCTCGCGGCTCCGGCAACCACTTTTCGATTTCTCTTTAAACACGATAGCTTGTCTCTAAGAAAATGAAACAAACTTCTCAAAGATTGGAGCTACGAAAGCATCGGCATCATATATATTTTCCAGATACCGAATCTGTTGTACACATGCAGCCGCTAGTTGTCCGCTTTGAGAGGTGGGCCTAGGAAGAGGATAAGACTATTGAACTCACAACTGACTTGGTAGCGAACAGTTCAGCATTGTTCATCAATATCTCAACAATTTTGGTTTGAATAGTTTCGCAAAGAAGGAAACATCGAAAGATTGTTTCTTGTTCTCCGTTATTCCTGTATATGAAGAAAATAAAAAATTGACTGTGTCTAAGAACAAATTGCCCACGTCATAATGGGTGATAAATACAACTTCAAATGATTTTCTTCTTTTGTTACGTTTTCAAGTACTTCTAATAGTTCATTCTTGAGCTAAAAGCAGAAAACTTTCTACAGAACTGAGTAGCAGCTTACTTCTCGATTTTTGAATGCCTTGTTGAATTCTGTGATGAGAACAGAAGTATTACCCGCTTCGCCTCAAATGATTGTATTTGAAAACCTCACTCCTACCCCTCTCTCTATCCTCTCTTATATACCTAAGTAATGAAATAAACATTTATAATTTTCATCTTGTTTGACGAAGACTTTCTTTGTCTTCAAGAATTCCTCCAGTTTATTGCGTGATTCTATGTTTTCAGAATTAGAGTTAGAAGGTGCGATACTTCCTCTGTAATACAGAGAAAATTTTTGGAAAGATTATCACTCTGAAACCTCTGAGTCCTTTGACTGAACCTAAGTAAACCATCAGAGAGTCTCTGAGAGAGTGGAGCTACTTGGGGTACTTGGAAAGTTGATCGATCTGAATTCACACAGGTCTTAGATTCGAAACAATTTTTCTTGCCTTTAGGCACTGGTTCCTCATCTAGATCGAGATCATCAAAAAAATCGTCACTATCTTGCATGATTAACCAGCTTCTTCCTAACTTCACATATGAATAAGTCAACGACTAACTCAATCAACATGAGAGTTTCAAAATTGAACATTCGCGCCAATGGTATCAACTTTTTCTCAATGGTCCATTCTTTCTTTTCACTTCAAAGGAGGTGTGTGGTCTTGTTTCTAATAATATTCCCGTACTATATTCTTATTTCATGATCGGAAGTTTCAGATGAATGATGCTGGGGATAATGCATGGTAGATCGTTTATGAAGCAGGCTAAGTGTATAGTCGCAACTGCTAATACAGCTCTGCTTTCAAGAAATAAATTTGTAAATGGCAGTAGTTGCACTGTACTAAGGTATTTTTGGTTTTTCAGCTTTTCTTTTTATTTTTAATCTGCAGACTTTGTTCAAATGTAGATATTAATAAAAAAAATGCTCCAATCTCAGATAGTGGGCGGTACAAAGTAGCTACCATTCCAAATGGATTATGTGTGCTGAGGTATGTTCAGCTTTACGTTTGATTAAAATATACTACAACCTTTTCGAACTTAAGCAACATTCTAAGTTATACTTTTATGTCACAAAAAGCTTCATTCTCAGAACAGTTTGCCATTTCAGGATTGCAGCAACTCCAGTTATTGGGTATCTTGTAGTAAACCACCATTTCCCTTCAGCATTTGCTCTTTTCACTTTAGCTGGAGTAACTGATATGGTAAGTTCTGAAACGATTCATGATGTTAGACTGATATCCGTTGTAGCTTGATGGATATATAGCTAGAAACTTTTCGGGCCAGAAATCATTACTAGGTTCAGTTCTTGATCCTGTGGCAGACAAGCTTTTAATATCAGTGATGTTCGTAACAATGACCCATGCTGGTTTGATTGCATGTAAGTTTTTCGATCGAATCAATTTTTTAAGAAACTTTTCAGGGCCATTAACTTTCATCGTCTTGTTAAGAGACTTATGTCTTATAGCTGGTGGATTCTACAAAAGATATCAAACTATGGAACCACCATATACTCTGAACAGGTAGTTCCTGTGTTTCAAAAAAAATTACTGGGAATTCTTTCCAGATTTTTCAATCCAGAAGTGTCTTCCATGCAAGTAGTTCCTACCCTCATGAGCAAGGTTGGTTATATCACACAAGATATTACGTTTCCGGTATTCCAGGTTAATACCATGCTTCAACTCTCCGTCGTCGGGTTAGCCCTAGCCTCGCCTGTTTTCGAATTTGGAGTTACTAGTCAGAATTTTATTACAGCACTCAGGTACATTTTTAAGCTTTTAACTTCCAACTGATTGAACGATTTTGAGTTGCGTCACAGCAGCGACGACTATTCTTTCTGGAATACAATACGCTAGTGGAAAAGCGATCAAGAAGCTCTGAATGTTCTCTGTTTTAGTCTCTTAGCTTCGATCATTTAGCCTCCTCCTTGTTACATCAAATTGTTATAGAAAGTTGTTAGTTTATATTTATCATTTTTGAAGAATATATGTATACATACAGGAATATATATATATAATAATAGTTTTACATGTTCAAATCAGCGTTGTTTACTGCATACGTACATGGTCAGATAATAAGAACCCGCTGACCCGACCTATCATATCTTGGGGTTCTGTCATCGAAAATAGACGTCCCATAGTATTTTGGCGTTTTGCTCTTTTGGTTATGAGTGAATGATCAAACTTTATGATTTCAAATTGATTGATGAGAAGATTATAGAATCACTGTATCGTATGCTTATAATAGAAAACACTGTTACAGTTCAAACACAACCGATCATTTAGCGCGCAAGTTCTAAAATGGAGTTTGTGTAAACATGGATTCGCGAGGATTGAAATACCGTCAGAAATCCTTAATGCGATATAAGAGGTAACAGAATTCGATTTGTGGTCCGCTAAGTCCTATCGTAATATCAAAGTCAAATAAGGCAGAATTACAGCGGATGATGTGGAGTTCATTCCGGTGTAATGTTGAAAGTTAAAAGTCTGTTTCTCACTTCGTTTTCTGTTTCTGGCTTTTCATCTTATTACGCAGGCTTTTTTCTACTTATGACGTTTGTTATACAGTTCTAAATTGAGTGTATTTGCTCAATACATGTTGATGATTCAACAGAGGTGGGGCTAAAGTCTCCTAAAGAAGTTTTTGTGTATCGCATAACAATGTGATCGCTGTTTTCTACCCTTCCCATCCGAAAAATGAACAATCTCTCTTTAGCTACCGATAGGACTATATCTAGAAGTCAGATACTTCGCTATCCAAGGGCGGAGTCTAAAGCATTCTGACTGGGTACAATTGCACCGAGTCAGTGCAACGTCCTCTTCTCACTAAGATTTGGGGGTGCCCCGCTGGATGGTGGTTATTCAGTCTAGAGCATCCCCTTCTACTCACCCCTGCTAGTCTTCTGTTTATTCTTCTTTGGCTGCTCGCATACACATCTCTCAAAACTTCTAATATCTAAACTGAACTTTCACATCTATTTTGGGCGAAGAATGTCTAGTTCCAATAAGAATTTCTTCACTTCTTATCATCTCGAAAGGAAACGAAATTCGATAACTGGACATTTACGTTTCCGATTAGAATTATCCTTGGAAATGCTTGTTTTTGTCCACTACTAGAGCGATTCAACTGACGGTAAAGCATTATTCTTCGATTCTACGTCTTCAAAGCGTTTCTAATTTCCTTTTTTAATTACTTGATTGCTCATTTCCGACTCATTCTTTGTTGCAGAATGAGTTTTCTTGTAAAATTCCGCAGAAAACTCCGATAAGACTCATGCAGATATCAGAATTTATGGGTTCTTTTGAAGTTCAATACGATAAAATATTTTCCTCTATTAATGTTTCCTGCAAAATTATAAGTTAGATTCGCAGTATCGTTCTGTACATTTACCGATGATCGGGGGCATATTGATGCCAGTTGCTCTTTTCATCAAACGTTACACAATTCGATGCAATTTGAAACTTCAGACTAGTTTTTATTCTCACACACATTTTTTCGAAAAACCAAGTTTAGCTATTTCGTAAATCAGGACGAAGTACTTTCGACTTAAGTTCAGCTCATTCTCAATTTTACGGCACAGGTGTTATTTTCATGTGTATGTTTGATCTTTTGATGAGATCTTCTTTGTTGTCGTTGAAAAAGTTATATCACAGATTAAAATGGGCGGACGCTGATAACACAAACTATTTTCTTCTTTCTATTGTCATTCGATCATTTCTATATTTATTTCTGCTTGTGTCCATCGCTTTTTCAATCGTGTGCTTAACCTTTTTAACTTTCAGCTTCCTTCGCTTAAGCAGAGTTCATCGTCAACTTGCTTGGGCGTTTGAAACTTTCGACGGTCCTATCTTTGCCAGAAAATCAAGCCTATCAACTCAAACACTGAACGGATAGCGGCTTCCGCATCCAAAAAAGTCAGTCTTTCGAAGCTTAATGAAATATTATCTGAAATCAAAAGACTGCGAAGAAGTTTATAATGGGTTGGCTAAGACTATGTCCGCTCGATCCAGAATCCAAAGAATCTAAATGAACTTAACAAAATGTAGCGGAATCCAGTAGAGAGGGCATGTGAAACTTCTGAAGAAACCCTTTTTTTCAGATATCCCGTATAATTAATAATTTTCTCTTTTCAGACGTTCGTGAGTCGCAGACCAGGAACTTCTAGCTCTTTCTGCTACTTCATTTTCGACCCACTTCGAACCGGAAAACCTCCGCCCGGATAACTAAACTCGGCATCATGATTTCGGATATGGAACTTATTGGAGAGCACAAAGTAAGCTGACCATATTTGAATTTTGAATCATATATTTTTCCAGGTTGGAATTCTCGACAACAACATTGATGCTCTAGCTTTAGCTAAAGAAATTGCTCACAACAAGGACGCTCAAGAAAACGATGAGGCTTTCATGCTTGTCAACTTGGATGTCATTCTTGATCGTTTCCGATTGTGGAAAAGAGAGCTACCAATGATCGAGGTGTGATTCATCATAGCTGCTAATTGCAACATGCTGTTTTAGCCCTTCTATGCTGTCAAATGCAACACCGATAAAGTTCTTGTTCGAGTTCTTGCCTCCCTCGGTACTGGATTCGACTGTGCAAGTCGGGAAGAAATTGATATCGTAAGTTTTCATAAATACGTGTCATAATCTAAGTTGCACGTTATAGGTTATGGATATGGGCGTAGGGGCTGATAGAGTCATCTACGCTAACCCGTGCAAAACAAGATCCTTCATTGCACATGCTAGAGACCGTGATGTTAAAATGATGACCTTTGACAATGCGGAAGAATTGGAGAAAATTGCTAAGATTTATCCTCAAGCAGAGTAAGAAAGCTCGCTCCATGTTTCATAAATGCTGTTTCTTTAGAATGATTCTTAGAATAGCCGTTTCGGACCCAACTGCTGCTTGTCCCTTGAACTTAAAGTTTGGTGCTGATCCTGTAAGTGCAGCACCACAACTTCTAAAGACTGCTCAACGTTTATCTGTTAATGTCATAGGAATCAGGTTTTGAGAGAGAGAGATAAATCGAATGAATCAAGTTTATCTTTTAAGTTTTCACGTTGGATCTGGATGCAACGATGCTTCAGCTTACTATACTGCCATCATGCATGCTAGAACTCTCTTCGATATCGGAAAAGGCCTAGGATTCAACATGAAAATCCTTGATATGGGTGGTGGCTTCCCAGGTGCTGAGCATCACATGCCATTCGAAACTGTTAGTTGGGTTACGTTCGACGAAGAGATATTTCTTGTTTTCTAGATTGCTGAAGTGATCAGAAAAAGCTTAGACGAATTCTTCCCTTATGGTTCTAATGTTCGGCTTATTGCGGAGCCTGGGCGTTTCTTCGCAGCTCGACCTTTCTCACTTGTATGCAATGTCATTCACGCTACTGAAGTGCAGGCCGATAAAATATCGAAAAAGGACGATGATAGTGATAAAAAGGGCATGATGTACTATTTGAATGATGGCGTTTATGGCTCATTCAACTGCATTCTCTTCGATCATGTCCAACCCGTTGGGCGTCCATTATTTGTAAGGCCACTCGAAACTCATTTGTTTTCTGATAAAATAACATTTCAGGAGAAAGATAGTGAGAAACTACTGACTACAATTTGGGGACCAACATGTGATAGTATGGACAAAATCGAAGATATGAAAATGATGTCACGTTTGGTTGTTGGAGATTGGGTTGTTTATGAGAACATGGGGGCATACACAAGTGCCGCATCTACAACCTTCAATGGCTTTCAACGACCTACTCCCATCTATGTAATAGATCGTAAGAAATGGAACACAATTGCTTCTTCTCCATACGTCTAGAACCAGAAGACAAACCGATAACCTATTGTTGTAGAACTCTGATACAATTACTGAGTTTTTTTTCAATTAGAATAAAATCTTTTATTTATCTATCTGGTTTGAACATAGAAACTGTTTTCCCTTTTTTTCGGTAATCATTCAATGCAAACATGTTTTTTAACTGATACTCATCAACTATGCAGATAGCTTGTTGGTGATACAATACGTGGTTTTCAATTAGCATATTAGATGCTAAGACTATCATTCTTGCACCTGTAGGCGTTGTGATCGGTTGCACATACATAAGGTATATAATATAAGGTACAATATATTTATTCACGTCATTTAATATTACAAAACTTATTAAAATATTACTGAGATAGATAGTAGTAAGGAATATTAACTGACAAAAGTGATACCCGTTTTCATTGATTGAAGCTTACTTCTTAAAATCAACCTGTAGTGAATTGGTTATTAAATGATAGGATTTCTAGGCTTCGTACTCAGACTTGCAGAATAGGTAGCGTTAAGAATTAGATTTGCTTCATGTTAACAAGAGATGCCAGCATTGAATTAATATCAAACATGGGTACACTTTGTATAATTGGAGAGTTTTGTTGATGTGATATCATTGGAGTAGATGTATAGAAAGGAAAAGATGTTGATATATTGCTTGGATAAGGATAGAGTTGAGTGAAAAACTGCGAAACAACCAAAGGGATTCCAGTTGCACATAAGCCATGATAATTCGGGTTTGAGCTAAATTCTGCCGAAGGATCTTGTGCGAGAGCTATAAGGTTGAATGAAGATGGCGATGGTACTTGGTTGGGCGATAAATAAGACCTCTGAAATATGTGGTTTAATAATTTTTTATTTCTCTTTCTGCTGTTTTGTGGAAATATGATTTGGTTTTCAATCGTTTAACTGTCAAAATTTAATAATCAAAGCCTTTTGACACGAATGAGGAAGCAAAAGAAGCTAGTGTAACTCTCTGGTGCTGTTCAAACATACAATGCTAAACGGTCTACCTCCAACCAATCATAGTTTCATATATATTGAACATTTGATCGAGTAGAATTTACACTTACTGTAACTTCCTCAATAGCTGGAGATGCGAGAAGGAGCTTAGGGTCGACAATTGCATTAGGAGAAGCACCCAACATGATCTCAGGCATTACGGGTGAGCTTACTGAAGAAACTTCAGAAGAACTCGTTTCCGATGCTGAATATTCAATTATTTAAAAGATCAAATAACAATTGAAACCTGCTGAGGATAGTTTGTTCTTCTTTATATGTCTGTCTAAAGCTCTGCGGGTGTCGATTAAGTCGCATTGAGCACAACGACAATCAGCGAATTTACAGTTCTTCTTATGATCCTGATGAAGTAAACAATAAAACAATCAAACTGTTAGAGATAAAAACCTTTTTCCACATAAGTACGCCATGATTTTTGCATTTTTGGCAGAAATAGCATAAGTTGATTTCTTCTTTCGTTGGCTTTTTCTCACCATTGAGAGGAATAATATCAGCTTCCGATTCATCTGTCGTACGCTGAAAATTGAAGTAAAAAGTAAAATTTCATTGAGAGTTTACGAACCTGAAACTTTTTGTCTTGTTCACGTCGTAGACGAATCTGAGTAGACATGATTGATCTTCGCTTTCTTACAAGCTTACACTGAAAATACCAGATGAGAAATTTCAATTATGGTCAAATCTCACTTTGGCACAGTCACAATCCTTGAATTGGCACATATGTTTTTTTGTTTCTACGACAATTCCGTGTTGACGGCAGATACCACAATGTCTTTTAACATCTGAAGTTGCTTAAATGTATTAGTTGATGATGATCAGTTAGACTACCTTTAGGTATTTTCTTTCCGTAGCCGAAGAATCGACTGACGTTTATCTTTTTGGGTTCTGGGACTTCAACAACTTCCACAGAAGCAACCATTGGATTAGTCAAGAACGAAGGATCCTTAAAATAGAAATGATAAACTTAAACTTTCATAATACAAATTATATTCGGAGAGCAGTAGCAATGCACAAAAGTTCAGAGGAGAAAATGGAGGAAATGAAAACTTTTTTTTCTAGTAGTTCACAACTTTTTCTTCTATTTTCAGGTTTATATACTCGTTTAATACTTATTTAAGGATTTTGATGTAATTCGCTGAGATGAAGCCTCATGCTATATAAGAACCTGATAATCAGTGATTGTGATCGAATAACATGGGAAAATGGCTAATATAAATGCTTGAGGACGAAAAACGACGTATCTCTCCTTATATGGAAAACAGTTATCCGTTTTTGACGTCAATTGAGCTTAATCATTTGTTGGGAGGAGGAAAGAGCAATTCAAGCAGAAATAAATAACTTTTATCACATTTTCAACAGATCTTCAAAATCCATATTGCGGAAAGGGGCGTTTACAGATCAGGATGAAAGATATATCCATTTCATTGGGTTAATTGGAGACCCCCGAACGAGATATGTTCACCTCAGTAGTAATCTTCTATGAGGTTTGAAATATTGTCGAAACCGAAACAGATAAAAGCTGAGGATAGATCATACAGCATTAGCTGTAGACGGAGGGAGGAAAACTTGAGAAAAGAGAGCGACAAAGTGAGAGAGAAAGATAAAGGAATGAGGAAATGATAGAGAGAGAGTAGTATTGCAGAAGAAATGAAGTAAGAGAATAGTCAGATGGTTTTTTACGTCATCATCCAGATAAAATTCCATTTTTGTTGCTTTCGTGTTGCTAAAAATGAGAATTAGATAGCAAATCTTTCATTTATAGAAAGAAGGATGTTCAGTAATCACCAGAAGATTATACTCTATGACGTTCTCCCCCTCAGTTTGAAAAAAAAATGAAGTTTTTAAAAGATTTATAGTAGAATATCTTGTAGAATGACGACATACAAAAGCGTTCATCGTTCATAGTGTTTCAATAATGACCGTAAGTACCGATAATAATCTGTTCTATCATTTGAGTTTTCCGATTTACTCAACTTTTTTTTCTGATTTAACGAAAAAAAAAATTGGTCGAAAGAAAGAAAAATAAATTTTCACACATTCGCTATTTGACAACGTTTTTGGGGAGGATAGTTTCTCTCTCTTCCTCTCTCTCTACGAACGCATCTACACACACACACACACGAACACTCCCTCACAATGAATATGCATTTGTTGGTTTTAATTAAAAAAACTGATAGGAATAAGGAATATTCATTATATTTTGAGAAACAAAAAGTTAACAAAGAGAGACTTTAGAAATCCTTTTTCGAAACTTTGAAAGACTAATGTTTGTAAAGGTTTTAACTTGTATCTTGTTACGTCCATTGGATACCAGTCAGTTGTTCGCAGAAAAGTTTCTTTAGTTTTTCAAAGTTTTGTAGAACATGGCTTAGACTTTTTAACCTTTCAGTTGAACAAGATGAATAGAGTTCATAAGATGAAGAGAGAATGGGGGATATGTGTGGGTTGAGAGAGAGAGAGGGAGGGATCAAATGTGTTGAGAGAATGACAGAGAGAATGACATAGAGAGTAAAATGTATTTATTAAAAAGGGAACGTGCGTAATTAAGTAACTAGACGTCTGAAACGCTTTGCGAAGATTTGTCGAAAGATAAGAGCTGTCGAACACGAAGCTCAACCTTATCCGTTCGGAAGTTTTTTGCCAAAAACAGAACAGGATGGTTTTCATTTGGTTTTTTTAGCGTTCAAAATTGGGTAAACGAAGAGAGAAAAAGCTAAGCAACAATCAAGGCCATCTTGATATTTTAAAGATGAAATAGTTGTGAATTTCTTATGAAATTAACAAAAAAAATGGTTGAAAAGCTATTGTTGAAGATACTAAGATAGATATCGAAGATGGAAAACAACCCAATGCTACAGTTGCATAAATATCATTTTCTAAAATTTATCTGCAAAATGATTTTTTTACAGGTGTTAATGCATAAGATCTATAATTACATATTTGGACATGTATAGAGTGGATAGCTTCAGATAGCTAGAAGTAAGCTCAGATAATATACATATAATGTTAAAAAAATATGAGCATCATCTGATAAGGAAGAAACCATAAATTCCTTAATTTGATCATATTATTCTTCAATTGATGAATGAATCGGCAATGCTTACAAGATTTTTGCTTTAACATACAACATGAAAACAGACAAACGAATGTTTTCTTCTGAATTATCAGAATCGCTGTCTATACAGCAGACGTTTCAGTTTTTCACATTTTTTTTTATTTCTTTGAACAAAAATTATGAGAAAGGCCATTCTGATGGAAGATAGAATGAGTGAGTATAAGAGAGTGATGAAACCAGAAAGTAAGAAAGATAGAGACGAGAGTGTGAATAGAGCAGAAAGGTAAAGCTCATTTAGACACGTACAGTTAGTGTGGGTGAAAACAAATTTTTTTGAATAAAAAATGATTTGAAAGCCGAAAAAAGGTGAGATTTAATATGTTCTATGATCATCGAAATGTGTCAAAATAGCTAATCACAACAGTTAAAACAATGCTCATACGAGATGTTAGTTCAGATGGCTTATTTCCTAAATGCTTCAAGAGAGAGACTGCAGGTCGTGGACAGACGTCCCGAATTATTTCTACTCATCAAAATGACTGTAATACAAAATATCCTATTTGATTTGTTTGAAAAGATTAATTTTAAAGTATCAAACAAATTTTTTTTTTTAAAATTTAGTTGAAAGAGCAATAAATTTGATTTCTTGTCTCTCTTTCTCATTTTTTTTTCTCTCTCGAACTCATTCTCTCTCTTTTTCATCCTCTTTCTGTCTTTCTCAATTAAAATCGAAAAGTCACTAATGAAAGTAAATTTAAGAAAAAAATAAGAGATTAAACAGAAAAGCAACCGCTCACCATGCCTGTACGTGTGAAAATGATGTTCGCGTTTAACTCACGTGTTACACGGTACGTGGGAGGTACGTGAAAACTGAAAATAAAAGTCACGCTTCACTATATAGAACTTTGAATGTTTCGAAAGAGTGAAAATGTGAAAAAAAATTTAATGAATAGTGATTGAAAATTTTCTTTTCGACGTTGTAATCGTTACATAAGCTGTGGAATCAGATGTTAAATGTCAAAAACGGTAGCTGGAAACGAGAAAAAAACAAGGAAGATTTCTAACAGTGCGATAACGTCTAGCTGTCAATCTTTCCATCAACCTGAATGAATATGTGAGGAATAATATATATTATTGAGAATATTGAAACAAAAAAAAAGAAAAAGAGACAGAGAGATGAAGAAGAAGAGAGGGAAACAGAGAGGTTTAGATAGAATAGAAGAGAGAGAGGGGTAGATAAGTCTAGAGAGAGAGAGAGAATAAGAGCTTCAATTTCTCCTTTCCCTGCTTGTCAGTTGGAAAACAGTAAAAGACAATTGTTTTCTTGAAATGATCTCATTTTTAAATTTTGTAAACTCAAAGACAAAATCTACAAAAGCTTCTGGGTGGAGATGCTTTAATGAAATACACGTGGATATAAGTATTATTACTGTTTATATTATCATTAATTATTATTATTATTAATATTATGAATAATCTGTTAATGTAAATGTCGGTGTTTCTACTGCGGCTGAGCTTTTTCGTTTTCTTTCTGAAGACGATAATGGGCTGAGCTTTCGAATATTTCGTAGTTGAAACGAAGGGAGCGATGCATCAAGTGATAAACGCTTGGGTAAGAACACTGTCGTTTCGGTGTCGAAATCTGCATTAGCACTGGCCAATGAGGTCCGCTCCTAAAATTAAAAAAAAAGCATCAAAGATAATAATTTGGAAGCATGTTGATCACGTACAGTTCCCGTTGATGTGATACTGCCTCTTCCAGAATCTTGACCGGAACTTTTTGCACTTTCATGACGGTTTCGTCTCAATAAACGTTGCCAACTGGGTCTGGGTGGCTAAAAGCAAGTATTTTTTTCTTTTTCTACATTATCTGCAAGTCAAATCTTACGCGTTCCGATTCTTCTTTTACTTGCCGTGGAATATGTTCATGATGACTTTCACTTGAATGTTCAGATAAATCTGACACCTGAATTGTTTAGTTAACAAGGCTTTTTTGCATTTTTTTCAACCTCTGGAATAGCTGAGACCCGTTTTTGTAGTGCAATGAACCTTTTCATTGATTCTGAAGAGGCTCTATGCCCAGAAATGGTGTCCTCCTGGAAAGATACCCTCGGTGAAGAACTGAAACATTCGTTGATGACAGTATGTTTGACACTTCAATGGGAACCTATTGCGTTTTGGTGGTATTTCTATCGTATCCATAGAGTCGATTGTTTTCGTTGTGGAACACTTAGAGCCGCGGGGAGTACTATTTAGAGATGTCATCTGGCAATTTATTTTTTCGTTTCATTTTTTGTTTTCCTCCCTCCTACCTGAGTTACTTGTAGACGTGTAGGACTGCAAGGTTCGTCTCGTCTACCAGGTGGTTGTGAGTTGTAGAAATTAGATAAAGTACTAGAAAAAAGAGAGTTGGAATGCGAAAAAAAAGAAAATTATACTTCAAAGCTATTCCCGGTGTACTTGTTATTCTCTTTAAAACAGGCATCGTTTTCGATCTGACTTTCCGTCGAATTACCTGCAAGTTGCGGGTTTTCATTTAGCGAGCAGAGATCTAGTCTTTCGTACCTCCGTCAGAAACACATACAAAAATGGATTTGCGAAAGAATTCAAGGGAAAGAAGAAAACTAAGAATACTTTGGCATTACTGATCGAAATCAGAGGATATCCTAATGCTGCCGTCATGCCTGTTGAATGATTTTTTTAATGATATACTTAGTACACGCTTTTACCGAAAAAAATTGTAGGGAACCAACAGACCAGATCGGTGAAGATGAGCAAAGCCATTTTGGCAATGATAGCCTTGTCCTCATCTCTTGACGGCGTTGAAGGATCCTATTATACGCAGAAGTTTACTAATGATTATCTTATGCTCTCTACCTTGAGTAGTATGATGATAACAACATAACATCCTACCATCGCCATAAAAGCGATGAGGTTAAATGAAAGACCAGATATGAGATAAACCTGTAATGATGAAGAAATCTTTAGTCTTTTCTAGTCCTTGGTCTGTCCCTTTACCTTATCAACTATATTATCAACTTTTAGTGGTAAACATATGCTTGTAGTACTGTAACTTGAGATTCCTAATAAGGGAACGGCTGCCATTACAATTGAATATATCCATCCAATTCCCAGTAAACACAGTGTAACTTTAAGACTCAAACGACGTCCATAAAATCCCATCCTATAAAATGTTTTTTTTTGTTGATTTTCGCTCTCATATTATCTTCCAATTACCTCGTATTATAAACTATTTCGAAAGCTATTAAAAACATGGAAATTATGCTTAATTTGGATGCAAAAACAGCCAGAAATCCAGCAGTTCGACATCCCCAACCTGTTTGCCATTCAACTGCATGACGATAGTACTCATTGGATGTTCTGACATCTTGTATCGCAAGTATACCCAAATACACTCCTAAAAATCAGTCAAGTGTCATTGAGAATAGAAGTTGATGAACCTGTAAGCAAATCAGCAATAGATAGATTAATCATCAAAAGATAATGAATTCTCATGCGGTGTTCGAATGCCAATGATAGTGATAACCAAACTAGGATATTTCCAACGATGGCTAACACCCATACAATCCATATAGTTTTTCGTAAGAGAGGATATCTGAAACATCATATGCTTGTTTTATTGAGTCTTCTTCTCATACCCGACGATGTTCTCACATGGGTTCAATGCATCTGGCTGAGGAGTGCATGTTATGTTTTTGAAAAGCTTCTGTGCTGTTGTGTCTTGTGTTTCAGAAAGGCATTTCAATGCACCAATCATGTTTGGAGGAAACTCAGGTAATTCTTCCTCAGCATCCTGTTCACCTTCGGGCAGCCATGAATCTGTGAAATATGGAAACCAATCAGCAAATTCAAATGGTGGAGATGTAGCCTAAAAACTGAAATATCAACCTTAAAGGAAAGAGAAATATTTGAAGAAAATCACCTCCCGCTTCTTCCGTCGCTTCACTTTTTCCAGTCTGTTTTCTTGCTCTTTGCAAAGACGATTTTTATTACTTTTGACTTTGCTTCCATCGGTTTGAAGAACACTGTCAACATGCTGAATCAAAACTATTCAATGGAAATGATCGTTAAAGTTCTCTGGGAATTCCCTACATCCCATTCTCAAACATTTCTCTTCCAAAATGAATCATTTTCACTCTTTTTTGTCGAAATATTTTCATGTGAATTACCTTAAATAAACAACAATGATGAGGGTACGTGAAGTGGGCTGTTTTCAACTTAGGAAAGCTGAAATCATCATAATGAGAACACAACTTCATATTCTTTTTCTAACCTCAAGACAGATGGAAGACTTTTGAGAGTTGGCACATTTGTGAGTGTCAGAGATTTCAAATTTTCTAACCCGTTTTTTGGTAGCTCTGATATAATCGTATCGGAGAGTTGTCTAAATGAGTTTTCGTTTGCAGGAATCTGGTAGGAGCTTGGCTTACAGGTGATGCAGTTCGCTAATTCCTTTGAATGAATCTACAGACAGATCGTTCAATTCAGGATTGTTGTTCAAATATCTGAGAATCAAATGTAGGTTGGAGGATTTTGAAGAAACTCACAGTTTAGCGAAGCTACAAGTTTTGAAAGCGAATGCTGCTATTTCCCGAATTCTATTGTGATTCAACCTGAGACTTCTTGCTCTAACTCCATGTACTCGCCTTTCTCCAATGTATTGAATCTTCAACAGATTGATTGGAGAGAACACAGGAGCATGTGCTTACTTGGTTCCCGGATAAATCCACTTCTACTTCTAGACGGTGGTCATCCGTCATTCGTAGGCCGGGCATTCGTTTCAAGGCATTATCTCTTAAAATTCTGAAATTTTGATTTCTAGTTTCATGTTCCTTGAGAAGGTTACCAACACAGTCTGAATTCTCAAATTCTTTTCCATCAAAGTACCAGAAATTTCATGAAGTTTCTTGCACCATGTAAGTGAACTGTAAACCAACGTTATGTTTTGAAATTTTGTATAGATTTACAATTTCTTCAAGTTACTCAGTATATCTAAAGCTGTTCCATCGACATAATGAAGTTCGGGAGAAGAAAAGATCTCTCTGAGAATATGAACATGATGCTGTGATTACAAAAAAATTTGAAACATCTCTTCCAGCGTTGTATAATTGTCAAAAAAGTTGGATGAAATTTGTTCTAAGCTTGTATTGTACATGACTCTATAAGGATGCTAAATATAGCCTTGATATCATGCAGCATCTTACAGAACACGTAATGAACTAGTTAAGTTTCTTGGTAGAACCTTCACATCCCTGCCTCTGCAGCAGCATTCACCTCGTTCTCCTCTACTAACACATTGACACCCATCCCCTTCGAATCGGCAAGACTTCTATAATATTACGGTAAAATTCTTAACAAATTTTTTTCTTCATTCATTCCTCTCCTCTATGAATTTGACAGCTGATAATTAAATGATAAGAGTATAGAGTGTTGTGAAGCTATTTTGTTTTCAAATAAAATTTATATTTAGAAATAAACTATGAAATGATTTCGTTAAAATGCGCTTTTTAAGTTGTCCAGACAGGATTATACAAGAGACTATCTTTGGATAATTGATCCTCCTCTTACTGAATCCTTTTTCTCCCTATATTTCTGTATCTTGTATATCATACTCTTTCTCTTTCTCTCTCTCTCTTATTCGTCTCTCTCTTTCGCGCTTTCTCTCTCCCTCTTCTCTCTCTCTTCTTCCATTTGAACTTTCTCTTCGTTCTTCTTTAAAAAAGGGAAAGTAAATAAATAAATTTTGATAAAAAAAAAATGAATTGATAACTAGATTGTACATGACGTTTTTATAATAAATAAGATTTAGCTGTCATCCTCTTAAGCACCTTTATAGATGTAATTGAATGAACTTACTTTGGTCAAGAATCTGGGCGTCTCTAACTGACGATTAGAATTAGAATCTACACATGGTATAATACATATAATTATGATAATTAAATAAAGTAATGATGAGATTAAAAGGTGACTATTGGCATGTATGGAATCACATCCAGCTCGCTTCATGGACGATTAGAATGTCAAAAAACTGAAGCAGAAACAAGTGTTTGATGTGAGACGACACAGTCTGGCTGACTGATAGCTCAAGCAGCAATACAAGAGAGAAAGCAGAAAGGAAAAAGATTTATTGATAACAGTACAAAAGCTCATGAGACTTTATACTTAAATGGAAATAGTATGAGAACATTTAGAATAAAGAGACTTCAACACAAATAGTATGTGATTGATGAGATAACAGACAGCTAACACATATTATGGACAAATAATTAAAAGTTTGAAAACACTAGATCAGATTCTGATATGATTTCTTCATTTGTCTCTTCCATCATTTCTCTGAGCAATTATAAAAATCTCATTAAGCAATGTACATGGTTATGGTTAAAAGGGGAAAAAAAGCAATTAAACTGACCGAACAATCATGCCAAATTCGTTATCAAAAATGACTACCAGTGGGCCTTTCATTTTCCTCTCATTCCAATCTCTCTCTATCAAACAGTCACTCAATCAAGAGTGAGCCACATCATACTCTGTCCCTTATTGCCCAATACATTGCACACAAACATTGAAATTATCTGGAAGTAACGACTTAATTAGTTAAGCGTGCACTTTGATTACTGTTGAGTTGAATGCAACCGATCTGCCCATAGGGAGTGTGACGAATGAAATGCTCCCGCTATTTTCACGTGACGTGAATCTTTATAAATCAGAATATAACGATCACGCATATTCAAAACAGAGATGAAATTGAAATGAACTAAAGTTCCTTTTTGCAAATATCAAATTTGAATTCGAAATAAGCTTCATCAGTAGTTTTCTTGTAAACTGCTAACGTTGAAGTAGAAGATGTTAGTAGCCGTCAGTCGAAGCTGATTCATTTAGATTTCCTTTTGAGAGTTATGTCTGAAACTTTTCTTAAACGACAACGTAAATCGAATTTGTACCTCAGTGTTGCATTAAGTTCTCGGCAAAAGCTTTTATTTGTCTACAACTATATGCATCTTAAAGCATATTCGCTCCAAAACCTCTATTGAAAGGTTGAAAAAGCGTAAAAAAGGAGAATATGAGGAGGAAATTAATATTTTTCTTCATCTTCTTCGTCTTCCTCTTCTTCTTCTTCTGTTTCATTCCAAATATATTTTCATTTTATAAGAAATTTTTCTTTTTTTTTCTCTTTCAATAAACAATTGGTGGGCATAGCTCGGCCTAATCCACCCGTCGGAAAGAAGTGAGCATTTCGACATCCAGCAGCGGCCATTTCAAGCAAAATACTTGAGAGTTCTTGACTCTTCGCTTATACGATTTTTGACTCTCAAAACGATAATCGGTTTCTTTATATATTCAGCTTCGTTCAATCGAGATACATGTTAAAAAGAGAAAAATCATAAGCTTATTCCTTTCTCCCGATCGATTTGAAGCAGTTTGTGGTATCTGTTTGTTCTCACTTGAATATCGCTCTGTTGACTTCTCTTGATCTAGACATGCTCATTTATTCTTCAGAAGATCCTTTGCATCACAATTTCATTTTTATTAAACTTTTTTTTGTCCATTTTTGACTTTTCATATTGGATCACTGCCTAAGCCGTTAGCTCATTTTCATTTGCTAAACCTTCTCTGTCATTATTTTTCCAAGAAAAAAATGTTTTTTCCTTTTATTCATATTCTCTCTCTTGGTCTCCCTCTTAAAATTCCCTCCATCCTTGTATTTCCCCTCTCTCTCTCTCTCTTTTTTTCTTGCTCACTCTCTCTCTCTTGCTCACTTTCGATTGGATTTCCTTAAGTAAGACTTTACCATTACTTTATAGATATTGGAAGAGATGTCAATGCAATCAGATGCTAAGAATGTACTTATAATTTTCAAATTCATATTTTATATTATTTATCGTTCAATACGTTCCATCATCCAGCTAGAATCTGATATTATTGCTCTTATAAGGGTCGTGACTAAGGCTAATATTACCAATGAAGTGGAATTTTTTCATATTTTAGCTCGGTAAACATTTAAATAAGAAACTTTGTTCACATTACTTATCATTATAAACATATTTAATAAACATATCTTTTCAGTAATCGTCTAGACAATTCTGATATATGTAGAGAATGCGATTTTTTACTTTTTTCCGATCATTTTGGTCATTTTGATGAATTGGCCGATCAAAGGTTTATCTTAACATATTCATGAATATTCATCTTTAAGATATTTAGATGGCATATCTATTCAATAACAGATCAATATGTCTATTTCTGTCAAATTCCATCAGAAGAAGATCTATCTATTCTCAAAAACCCTAAGTTATCTATAACTTTCTATGAAAAAGCTGAAAAAGTAGCCAGAGTTAACCATATTACATTCGCTAGCTATATGAATAACAACATGTTGAAAGGTAATTATCTTAATTGAATATGTCATCACATTCACATATTATAATCGTTTCAGCCAAAACGATCTTCTTGCACAGTACACCTGCATGTGGAGCAACATTGACAGCCAAAATGCTACAATCAGCTGATTCATCGGCTCGATCTTTCATTGTAATTACAATTAATTACGAATTATAAATTATGCAAATTATAATGCTTTATAGGTCTTAGGAGAGCCTCCAATGCTTTCATCACTCTCAATCCTTATGTACAGTCTATCAATAGAGAAATTACGAGAATTGACTAAGAACGTCATTCGATTCTCTCTCTGTCATTACAATGGCAATCAAACTGTTCTAATTAAGACAAGGTATTTCATAAATCGTTTCGTCTCTCTGAAGATGACCACAATACTTTTTTTTCTTTTCTCCATCGTCATTTCTTCTTCTTCCTAATACTCTTAACCATTTCGCGTAAATGTCCTTTTGTATTTAAATATTTTCTGAGGTTCCTAAAGAACACGAAAAGTAGTGTAGAGGAAACCACTTGAAAAGATTTTTCGACTTCAGTTGAAATCATTTCCGTTCCAAAACAGGTATCCCAACAGTTTTTCAACTGTTCGTTCATTGCAATGATTCACAAATTTCATGCAATCAACTTTGGATAACCTTTTTTCATATTTGAAAAGGATTTTCGAAACGTTTTTTCCCCCCTTTTCTACGTCTTCTTCTTCTTCTCGTTCTTTTCGTTCTCGTTCAACCATATTTCAAATAATTCTTTTAAAAAGTGCTTCGTACGTATACATTGCAGATCATGTTGTGGAAAGTTAGTTCCATACGTACATCATAGTTATCCATCTATTCAACATATATTCGTTACGTCGAAAAATCCATCTGATGGCATACCTCGACTCATCTCAAAGACTTCAACATCCATTCCAATATTCCGTATTGTATGTTGGCCTAATGATATCTGTTTAATTGAAATGTTTGCTTAAGATTTGTTTTTTCATTCGACAAGCTTATCCATTTTGTGATTTTTTCACTTCATGGCGTCGACTAGAAAGAGATACGGTAGTGAAGATAGGACCAAACGATTCTGTTGAATTTACATTAGCCCATATAATGGGTGCTACGGTAAACTATCAGAGGACGTTGAAGTACTATGCTTTAGATATAATTTACTTTGAAGATTTGGTAAGTTACAAACAGTAATTCCACTTAAATAACACGTTCATGTGATTCAGATGATTGACACTGCTAGCGTCTTGAGACCTATCTTGTATTTATGCGGATTATCTGAATTAGTCATACCTGAGTGTATTGAATGGAAACGTCAAGAAGACTTCGAAGATCTGAACGATAAGACATCATGTTTGAATAATGTTCAAAAGCAACGTATCAAAGTACTTGTTGAGTTATTACAACAAGAATGGAATCAATAACTTACATAATTATCATATTCACGTTTATACGTGAGACACATAGCATGTGTCGGCGTCATTTTCATTTACGTAATGATGTATAACGGTTGTGTTCATTTTAAAAATTTGAATGTTTCTGTTTTCTTTCTACAAACAGTTATATGTTTCAAATTCAGTTAGTTCATTGATTAAAATAAATATTTGAATGAAGAAGCCTTGTAGAAGCTCTTGATGAGAGATTCAGAAAAACATAACATATGAACACATCTTATCAATTGTTGATATAAGATATTAATCATTTTGTTCAGATGAAGAAAAACGACATTAAAAAGTAAGTTAGGATTTTCTTTTCTTTCTTGTCTCTGCAAACTGAAAGCCTGTTTTCGTGTGTCGAACGCTGATCACAAAATACAAGCGTGAAGATGTGGAAAATGAGAAAAAAAATAAAATGATTGTCCTTTGATATATTGTATTCTGCGATTTGTATGAATCCTCAATCACCGACTCATCAACTCGACTATCCGTTTGCGTGTATATCATGATAGTGATAGACATCTCTAGCTGTGATGAAAGAAGCAAAAAGCTTACAAATGGTCGGAAATGATTATTTGATGAAATGTATCAGTATTTGATATAAATTACTCTTATCATTAATACTTTTTTTCCATGAACATTCACTACGCCATTTGATAAAGATGTCTAAGCTGAAATGGAAACTGTTCGACAGTTCTGCCCAAAATTCGTATTTGAGCGACTTTTGAAAGTGTTCTCTACAAAACAGATCTTGTTTCATTAAATTTTAATAATAAACTGAAAATGAATTGTGATCAAAGAGTTCAAGCAGTGTAATTGACAAGCGAGAGGCTATGAATACGACGTTAACCACGTTAACAAGGAGTACATCGTCAATGATATTCTGAATCAAAATTCAAGAGTGGTCAATAGGAGGCAATTAACCAATCTACTTGATTTCATTTTACAATCACAAGCTCCATACCTGGAGTCATAAAATTTTTGTGTTCATTGAACGAACTTTTGATTTCAAGTCCTATTATTTGAAAAATTAAAAAAAGAAAAAACCTTAACACATGACGACTTTGTACTTTTCAATTGAATTATAACGTCCATATCTTTCTTTGATTTCTATGAAACAAAACCAATTTTCTTAACTCATCAACCTTTGCCCTCATCTATCTTACCTTCGCGCTCTCTCTATTACTCTCTTTCACTCTCACCCACTCTGTGTCTTTCTTTCCCTCTCTCTTACAGTTGCTTTCAAAGTCAACTGTTTTCCCCTTTTTTATTATTTCCGTCTGAATTTAATCCGAAAACTTTTTATTAATTTTTATTAATTTTTCGTTTCTCTATATGCTCCTGACGTACCTGCTTCCGTTCGGAGAAAAAGAAAAATTATTAATTTCTGTAAGAAAACCCATTGCAACTGTACGGGGTCGTCAGAGATTGAAAGGCAATTATCTCAAACAATTCTGGTTTTAATTTTATAATTTTCAAAAAGGAAAATGTGGGTTTTGTTCGCAAAAATGGTGTTGCGTTCATTCATCTCCTTTAACGGCATAGGTTGAAATGGTCGTTTTAATGGCCACTTGAGAGTTCAGTTTTATCTCATTCAAAATGACAAAAAAACTAAAATTTCTCAGCTGACTTCCGTTTGAACTGTAGAGCTCAACAGGAAGTTAGGAGAGTAAACTCTGGACGCGGTGTTGTTCAAGGGAAGGATTTGAAAAAATAAATGTGTATTCTACAGAGAAAGTGAATCCTACCTTTCGAAACTGTCAAACATGATTTTCTTGACCAACGTTTCAGCTCGAAAACAACCTCATACACGTTTTCTATGTTAATTTCTATGATGCGATGTAAAAAAACTGCAGAAAGGGGTGGGGTGTCAAGAAAACTTTCTGCGAATTCTCAATGATCAAAACCAATTGATGCGATGATCAAGAGAATATAATTTTTGAACGGCGAACCAAAGGAATGAATGGATTGCTTCAAAGGAGGATACGATTGGCAGTTTAGTCAAAGCTTTGACGCTGCAAAATTGATACATTAACTGATATTGGAAAGACAAACGTTTCTAATGTTCCACATCCGAAAAAACGAGAAAGAGCGCAGAGTAGTCTTAACGGTCGAAGAAATGATGTCATTGCCTACGAATTGAACGATTGGGATAAACTACTTTGGAAACAAGGTGATCATGACATTTAAACCTGTTGAATACTTTTCTTATTGAACCGATCGGAAACGCTAAAGTTCAGATAGTGTTGAGAGTAGAGGCAGAGAGAGGAAGAAATAAGAAGAAGAAAGATAATCGCCTACGTAACAACTTCTTTTGAAAACTTTGACCATGTTTAGACTTGCGTGTTGTGGGACAAGCTGTGAATAGCTTCGGTTGTTAATTGTCTGAACCACATTGTGTGGTGACAAGATGTGTTTTCTCAATCCTCCCACATCCGCCTACAATTTGTCCGAAGACTGTAGATGACGCCGGAAATGGGACTCGTCTCCGCCCACTAGCGTCGCTCACCTATAAAAGTATCGTCTGGCTAAGTTGATACCCCAGACGACCAGCCGCCGACCTCGACGGTATTCTGACAACAACAACACACAACAACAACAACAATAATAATAAGCGGAAGAGGAAAATAAAAAATAAACTCTTTTTTCTCTGCCCCAATCACTCATTCTTCTATCTAATATGAACAAACAATTCCTCCAACTGGCCATTGTGGCTGCTGCTTATGCCGGTAAGGTTATACGTTTTCTTTACTTTTTAACATTCTGTCTTTTGAGGAGTTTATGGTAATCCGTGCGGAAGTGGAGACTGGAAGTACAATCCTGGAACGAACGCTTGCTACAAGCTGATTTCCGATATTCTCCCATGGACAGTAGCCGAATTCAAATGTCTTTTCCAAGGAGCTCATCATGTTTCCGTTCATAGCATTGAAGAAAACAAGTTTGTAAATGGTAAGTGAACTTTTAACTTTTCATTGTTCTCTTGCAGCTTAATTGTTTTTACCTTACCTACTTTCGTTTTTTCGTGCAAACTTGTTCAAAACGTTTTGTCTTCATTCCAAACAAACGAACAACCGAATTCGATAGTTCAGCTTTGAGAAGAAGCTTTTACAAGCCCATCTCTCTCGGCCTCTATCTCTATCTCTTAACCGTTCGAACACAAAAAAAGTTTCTGTTTGAAAAATCTTCGTTAAATTTCTTCAACTGCCTGTTAATCTTCCGATAATTACCTTGAAAACGTATGGTGATCGGATGTGTCCTATCATCACATCCGGACAGACCTGTCTTCTCTTGGGCAAATTTTATTTTCACATCTTCTTTTACGAGAAAATAAATAATGTATAACAACAGACTAAATCATTAATTTCAGAAGTTTCTCAGCATCGTGAAATCTGGATCGGATCTGCTTACTTCGGACGTAATGCTGTCTATGTGAACTCTGATCAATCAACTTATGGTAACTTCGAAAATTGGATTGGAGGTATGTTTCATAACAAAACTTTCTAAAAGAAAAGAAATTTTTGTGTTCAATACACCGGAAGTGATAACGTATATGTTCTTCTATTGATTGAAAAAACTAATAGGATCGAATAGAGAAATTGAGAGAGAAATGGTCAAAATGAACGAAATAGGAAATTCATGTGTCAGCCAGTACATAATCGGAAAAAATGTGGAGTTGAGAAGTTCCAACTGAAACTGCTGTATCAAATTGGAGAAAAAGAGAAAAAGAGAGGTGTGAGAGAGACTATTAAGAGAGGTAATCAGAACGATCGAGAGAACCCGTAAAGACTGGAAAAGAGAGGATGATAGAGAGCTTGAACAGTAAGACATTTTTTATGGTTTTTGAAGCCCTCAAAAAAATATCAATTACCCATTTCCTTCGCAACCCCCTCTTCTTACGGTACTATTGACGAAATATGTTGATGAAAGAAATCAGTTCTCGTTAGATTCGGAGACACTCCCTGCTCAGATTTCATAATATGAAATGAGAGAAACTTATGAAATCTCATTATTTGGTAGAAGTTCTCAAACATCAATCTTTCCAGATAAACGTCCAACAATGAATCGTGCACGAAGATGCATCAAGATGGATAGAAGCGGCAATTGGTTCCAATCTTGCTGTAAGAAACGCACTTCCACAGTCTGCAAAAAGCCAGCTCTTAGCCGACCCGACCATAGCCAGGTAGAAATTCAATACACAAACGGCATTCTATGAATCTTCTGTATTATAGGAATGGCGCCGTGCCAAATTCTACCGTCGTTAAAGATGTCATCAACACGAACAAACGTATATTAGGCTTATAGCTTTCTTTGAATTACATATTTCTCTAAATATGTTCATTTACCCGACTTTACGAGTAAGCATTATGTTGTAAGCTTATTACCTGTATGTATATTGGTCTAGTCTACATATCAAACCCTATCAACACCTCCAAGTCTTTTTTCATCAGAAAAACTTTTTCTTGACGGAAAAATTGTAATTGTTATACAAAAGATTCTCATCTGCCTGGGTTCTTCTCATCCACGCATTCCGACATTAACGTCTTTACGTGTATATTCTGCTGTTAATTGAGCGAATATATGATACTTTCTTTTTTATCGAATAAATTATTATTTTTCTTCATTTGTTTGTTAAACTATCTTCAAATGTTGCTATTGAGGAGATAAGCCCTCTCAGTTCTCTCTCTTTCTTCCTTCCATCTTCTTCTTCTTCTTCAAACTGAAACCGAAACTTTTATTTGCTGCAACTTTTTGCTGGCTGTTATCACAAACACAAGAACGTGGTCGAGTTTGCAATAACTGCCAAATATGTGTAAGCGATAGTTTATCAGTCGTTCATTAAACGGAGACCAATTTCACACACAGAAAATATTATAAAAAACTAAGGGAATATGGATAGAAAATAGACAAATGAAGGGTCATTCTGTTGGTGATTGTCGCCTGATTGTCTTCTCTATCACTCTGCGGTTGTTTCCAAAAGGTTCGATCCGTCAGCACCCTAAATTGACTTCCTTTTGCATCGAAACGAGTGGGAAAACCAGAAAATCTTTGGAAACAATTTTCAAAACGGTTCGAGGGAAGAGCATGTAAGGGGGATTTCTTCAGAAGAACTATAGACATCTATTGATTCTTCAACTGGTCAACTCATCAAACTATAAAGCGTTGATAGGTTGATAAGTAGGCGAAGCTTATAAATTAAAGCAATAATCTCTGATCATGATCAGAGAGTGTATTTCTGAGAAATAACGAAATTTTCTGCTTTTTCTCCAGAAATGGAACCGGTCCTTTTGTTAGAATTAGATTTTCTGTCCTTTGCCTTGTTCAGAAGGAACGCTTGAACGCCAAAGAGACTTAAGCTTTAAAATGTCGGAACGCAAATCCTATCCTATTGACCAATAGAAATATGTTCGAACAAAAAACAAAAGTTTTCATTCTGAACAGTCACAGAATCGTCTTGTTCTCTCATTCATCTGAATAGATGTCGTCTTTTTAATAAACAGCGTGTCTTCCAATAACATTAACCAGAGAATAAACCTAATAGCGAACAATTAAAGACTTCTTTTGTCTTTTATACGAATACCTTATTTTATACAACTCTTATTGTTGAATTACTTCGTTAAAATTAAATTCAACACAAACAGACGAACTAATTGTGTTTGATATCAATGACCAACCGTTCTGCGCGCACGCAAAATGAAAAATGAGAATATTGTCGACCGACTAGTCATTCGGATTCATTACAAAGTATGATAGAACTAGAGTAAATTCAAAATTTATAATCAATTCACAGGTGGAAAAGGGTGAAAATAAGGATCAATTCTTCCGTCGTAACCTAATCATCGGTAAGTAGTAGCGTTAGAGATAGAAAGCTGATAAAGTGAAGATTCTCAATTCTACACAAGCTTCGTAGAAATGAAATAGCAAACTTCGATCTTATCTTATCGTGGGAACAACAATGCAAAGATTACGAGGAAATTCACAAAGTATTAACAGAATACTCGCATTGACGATGAAACATTCGATTCGTTAGTAAAATTCATTAATAAAATACATGAAATAGCAAAGCAAGGTTAACTTTGGGAATCAAAGCCAAAAGAAGTAAAAATATTAAAAAAGCTTGTGAAACAATGATAATCAAAAAAGACAAAAAAAATGAACTGAGCAACTTAAGATAATTGTATTCTTAAGGTAAACCTGTATTTTTCAGAAGGTAGGCATTGCAAGTAAAGGTTTATCTAATCTTAATATTCCTTACTTTTAGACAGGAAAAGCTGAACTGTGACTATTCTAGAAATCCATATGTGCAACAAGATCCTCTTTATTACTGATTTGTATAGCTTCTACTGCGTTTTCAGCTCTGCAAAAATTAAAGGGTACAAAATAATGAAGCAAGACAACTCACTTGGAAGCGAATTCCAGGACCATACTCAAAACGTTTGAGGAGATGGCAGGGCGCCCTAAGTAATCAGCTACGCGATTACTGGAATCTGATAGAATTCCTCCTGCGTAAGCTAAGACGAATTTAATGACACTATCGATATTAAAAAAATTCTTACGTTTAGAAGAGAAGGAGTTGTTTTTGGCGACGCGATTATCGTGAGACTGTAATAAAAGGGTAACCTCTCAACTTTCAAAAAACTATTTAAATACCGATATACATTCTTCATACCGTCTGGCTCTGCTAATGTAATCAGAGGTTGGTAAGCGAGCACCATCCAAGTGGGAAAGATCGATTATGCTCTAAAAACACGATTCGTTGTTGAAAATAAAAATCTGTGTGTACATTTTGAGTGGAATCCAAAATTCTACTGTACTGTTCTTGCACCTGCTGTTCAGCAGCATCTTTTGATGTGGCCTGTGCACGATCCACATAATCTGACCCTCTGAACATAGATTTCCATGAATTACAATTATTCGCAATAGTAAGAAACCCATTAGTGTATCCCTCTTGACGGTTCCTAACAGAAGTCACATTAGATTCTTGTAGTCTTTCATAAGGGGCAAAATTATCATCTTCATTCACAGTACAACAGCATATCATTCGCACAAAATCCATTCCTATTAAAATATCATATTAAAAACCGATCGCACAAAAGTAAATCATTTTAAAAATAAGAGAATGATAAAAGTTCATGTCAAGCTGAATGTGTGGTACGTGGAATATTGTTTGCGTATTTCACGACTACAGTAACCCAAAAACATGACCAGATAATTTTTCGTGGAAAAACCCTCATTGATTCAATTATAATAGATATATTGCATGGAAAGAATCAATTACTTTATATGTTCTATGAAATGCTGAGTTATGTAGATTGAAATATAATGTTTGCTCACGAAATGGACTTGGGTGTAGAAATAGTCTTTTTTTTCTATAATGAATGAGTTGCGTTAGAGCTTGGGTACAGGGCTGAACATCTAAGATATAAGAATATATTGTTGATCATAACATACTTGTTTATTTGTTTGTAACAGAACACAACCGTTCTCACCGTGGGAATCTGATAAATGAACCGTCTTATAAACGTAATCATCCTCGTTTTCAACTGTATGGGAATTTATCTGACCGCAAAATGCCAGGCATGCCAGTAGATGTTCGATTTGTTTTCGTTTTTAAAATACTAATCGGCTTATGACACTGGCATTATGGGCATTCTGAATTGCCTTCGAACAAAGAAGACGGTTTTCAACGACCTTTTTTAGGAATTATAAAATTATAACGAGATTTGATGAACTCAGATTTGAGTTACCTCATGAATTTAAGAACCTCAATGTCATTCTCTGCCATAGAATGGTGCCACCCGGTGCTGCTGTAATTACCCATTGGTTTACTCTTCAATCTCTGTTCTAACTGAAGCGGCATCCTGTAGAGTTATAGTGACATGTTGTAACTTAAAAAAATGAATCAGTTCATTAGCGAAGATGTTTGAAAGTTTTTTGATTGAATACATTTTGCTTTTTGCTGTTTAGCAATGATAGATTTCAAAAAACTTAATGTCCCATCTGATACAAATGGTTATTTCGTTATGCTTCCTCCATTTGTCAAAAAAGGAAACCGACAGGCAAAGGTTGCTAGGTTGGTTGTTTGTTGACAGATACGAACAGTCGGATATTGAGGACAAATCAATGGAGAGAGAGAGAGTGGGTGAGAACATCAGCTGTACATAGCTGCTTTTGCGTCTTTAATATAGATTATTGGGTGCAGCTGTTAGCCTTTTACAGTCTCTTTTGCGTCTCTTTTGTCACAATATGTCACTATATCGGTAATTTGAAATTTTTCTTCTCAGCTACTTGCGAATATCATAAATCTGATTTGTATAGCTATTTGAGGATGTCGTTCTGGCAAATCAAACGTATTGTATTGAATGTTTTTTTGTAAGTTCAAATGATATCATCGCGATGTCTTCTGTAAGATTTGAAATCACAAAACTTTTAGTCATCTCTTATTGTCCACTCTTTTGGTCACATTCATATTGTTTTGTTACTATTCAAATTTGTTTATACGATGGTCTTTTCTCATTCGTTCAAACTTAATGTTTACATAACGTTTCTCTCTCTATCTCTCTCTATCTATTCTGATTTCTCTACCTCTACATAAGGCTTGATTTTAATCAAAATCATTATCATGCCCTTTGATTGTATAAGACAATTCAAAACATTCTACCCATATGGGAGCCTATTGGAACAGTTTCGCTGAGAGTCATAAAGCGGCTTTTTTGGAAATGAGAAATACACCTGTGTGGTCATTATCCGTTTTTTTTACTTGTCAAATGTCTTTTTTCCTTTCAATTTGATATCAGATTTCTCATCTTCGTTCATTTCCATTTTCAATTTCGTTTGAGTTGCTGTGGGGCAAATTTCTCTGGAAGTACTCTTCTAGGACTCGGATACAGCCGGCTGTTCTTGCATTGTATGCTCTTGGTAGTGTCTCTTGCTATCTCTCTCTCTTTCCCTCTCTCTATCCTTCTGTATATTTCTTGTTTTGATGTAGTTACACATCCTTTGACCTCTTTCACAAGCTCCTTTCTTTCATTCTCTCTCCTTCTAATATACTCTCTGATTTAGCCTTCTGCTCATTTTTGAATATATGAATAGAAGGATGGCGACTGTCAATTCCTTTTTTTTCGCTCTGGCTATAATTCTTCTCAATTTATTCGTAATTATATCTTACTTGAAACTAACTTGAACATTTTATTTTTATAGTTCTGTCCGTTCGTCTAAATGCCAAATCTTTAAACTTCAATAGAACTCTAAATGACATTTCACAGTTAATTTTCAAATACGCTTGTATTCAAATCCCTTTTTTAATGGAAATAAACCCCTCATTATCGTTTTGGTAAATTCTATCCTTGCTATTCGTCTAACTGTATAATAGAGGAAGAAAAATAATTTTTTCTTACCATATACGTTCTCTTTGTCCTGTCTGCATGATACTTGAGATGCATTCGGTTGGATTTAGTCTATGAGCTTCTTATCCATCTCCATAATTAATAATACGTTTGAATGGTTCAATTGTCATTGTATAATGACTGTCTGGAACAGTAATATTTGAAACAAGCTTCCGTATATTCTTTTGTAACGTTCGCAACATTTGAATTCAGTAGATAAGAAGTATGTTATCAAGGTTTTTTGTATTTTATGCTACTACTACTACTATAGCATGTTATACTGTTTAGCGTATAGCATTTGAAGAACTGAACATCCGCCAACGTACTTTCATTCTTTTACTTTCTCTCTATTTCTCACTACTTCTGTCACATTTTAGTTTTTAAAATTTATCTCATTCGGAATGTTAGCTTTACTTTAATTTATGGCATGCCTTTCAAGGTTTTCAAATTCGAACGATCTCGCCTGTCCTTGATTCACTTTTTTTTCACTTTTTCACTGCTCTCATATGGTCTGTGGCCTCGTTTCTCTTTCTTTTTACCTCAGAAAAAACCTCACAACCTGGGTCTTTTTGTATGTGGCACTTTCAAATTCATCTTTTGTCGGCTAAAAGACAACTTTTAAATGTGTCATTTGTATTAACCATATTTGTTTATTATGATTTTCATTGTTTTATCTGTCACAGCTATACAATTACACACATGACCTCGTTTGTTAGTTTTTTCTTTAATATGTTTGAATAATCACAAATATATATGTATTTTGTATGCCTTCCTTTCCTTTATTCTTTTGAGTTTCGAAACTCTAACAGTGTTCCCATCTCTCTCTGTCTCTCTTGCTCTCTGTATCACACTCTTTGTCTCGCTCACTCCATCGCTTTCTCTTTCAACTCTGGCAATTAATTGTAAAAATTACTTTTTCAAATATTTCTTCTTACAAATAGTTGTGTCGACACACATATTTTCATTTTTGCTTTCATTTGAATGATCGTTTTCTCTTCCTGTGTCATGAATTCGCTTTCCTCCGTTGACTCTTATGACAACCCTCTATATGCAAATGAGAAGGTTCAAAACCGAAAACTGGTTTGACGTTCCCTTGAGAGGGAGAGAAATATAACTGAAAACCCAGTCATTCCCCTGTCTGATAAAAGAGAGAAAGAGAAAGAAAGAAGTACAGAAGAATGTCTTACAAAACTAGATTGCGGTTTTTCTTTCACTTTTAGCACTTTTTTGATTGTGCCATCCAATCAACACGATTTTCATTTCAAATTACCGTTTCATTTAAATTTTTGGCTTCAAAGATATGTTCGGTTCATTCAAATGACAGCATTTATGTGTGTAAATTTTGCTTTTTACTGTCTATTATAACCATCTGGAGCATAAAGCTTCTCTTTCTCTCTATAACTAATGAAATATGTATACTGTCATTGCTGCACTTGTATTACTTAAAAAGTTTCCGAAAAGCTTTGACATTCTCAGAGATTCGTAGCATTTCCGCTCACATCTTCAATGATGTTTTGAATACAAAGAACTACATTCAAAAATGAAAATGCCTATATATATGGTCAGAGAGTAATCGTGGGAAGTGTATCTGACTATTACCATCGTTATGTGAGTAAGACTTTTTTTGATCTTGTCTAATCATTCGGCTTTGTTCTGGAGGTACCGATCAAATGACATATGAGAGAATATATAATAAAAATATATGTTATTATATATTCAAATTATATCTGAGGATATCTTATAGAAGGGCTAAAGTTCATCTACAAAGTTTGTACGGAATTGATCATCCTATTATTCATACTTGGAGCAAAATAGTTTTTTGGGTCGAATATTTATTACCTGACCTTTGAAGGTGCTCAAGGTTATGAAGAGAGTCGGCTCCTTTCTACTCTTGCGTTATACTTCTCGTTTCAAATATTTTGTGCAAGACTAGCTAGTAGGAGTTATCTTTCCTTCATTCTCATATTATCATCTATATATATTTATACCATATAATATATATTATTTGACATGCCATGAATTTCTACTTGACCTACAAGCCAGTATATCTTTATTTTATTTTTCCAGTTGTACAACAAAACCGTATTATGTTTCTTCTCTTCAGCTACTTTTGTGCCAATATCATGCTTTGAAGGCGTCATCTTTGACCTTTTCCTTGCAGGTCAATAGCTTGGAAAGCTGTCTGTCTAATACCGTTTAAAGCTTACGATTCTTTCTCTCTGTCTGCTCTGTATTTCTCTTTTTCTTCGGTCATTCTCATCCCATATCCTCTCTATCTATCTCTATATTCGTTCCTGTTCTCTTCATTCCATGTAATCCACCATTAAAGCAGCTTCGATGGCGCAATCTGTCGACACATGCTCCACATTTGAATCCTCCGAATTGTCCATGTGCAGATTGGTCATCTCAATCTTCATTTCCGATTGCACGCAATCTATAAATCTTAATATAGCAGTTTCAATGAATTAGACAGCGGATATAATATATTCAAACCTTTCATTTAACAATTCTTTTGATTCTATTTTTTTACCAAATCTAAAACCTTTTTAAAAAACTTTCAACGACCACTTGAAGCCATTGATCATTGTCTCTCGAAATTTGAATTGCCATTCTCTATTCGTGATTCGTTGACCTGTCTTGTCTCAACGGCTGACCATCACTTTTGTCTTTG